CACGCACGCACGAACGCACGCACGCACGCACGCACGCACGCACGCACGCACGCACGCACGCACGCACGCACGCACGCACGCACGCACGCACGCACGCACGCACGCACGCACGCACGCACGCACGCACGCACGCACGCACGCACGCACGCACGCACACATACACACACACACACACACAGACGCCAACAAACACACACACACACACACACACACACACACGCACGCACGCACACACACACACCCCGTGCTGAAGATGTGGGCCGGGTATTCTCGGTGGGTGCATCATGCTGGGGTTTGTCGGGTGCTTTGCCACGCTTCGCCTTGGCGGAGGGAAAGACAAAGAAGAAAGAGAGGCATGAACTGTGTGGGGGAGGGCAACCCGGCAACCCGACCTCAGGCCTTTTGGTCACTTCTGAATACCCCTAAAAATGGAGCGCGCGGGTGGCAGGAAGTAAGAAACATGAAAAGAGCGGTCTCTGCCGCACGAGGGTGCCTCTCTCTGAAGGACTCCTTACGTGCACAGAATAAGGAGACAAAGAGAGAGAAGCACTCCGGAACAATGATGATGGCAAGAAGAGCAAAGCCAGAGGATGGGCTCTCTGTACGCACCTCTTCCCCTAAGCCCTAAGCCCCTTAGTTTGCACGGTGCGCCGTGAGGAGAACAAGCAAAAAAGAAGAGGAAGAGCAACATACAGAAAGAGCATAGACTTGCAAGACATATAACCAGCCAACATTTACATGCCTGGCAGCTTCAGGCTGGCATCCACGAGCAATGGGGTGGCGTTGTGCCACGGCTCGCGCAGGAGGGTCACAAACAGGCAGAGAGATGCACAACAATTTGTACAACAGTTTGTGCGACAGTCCATTGCTAGCTTTCGTGTGATGCAGTAGTCACTCAGTAGTCTTAGTAATCGCCTTACCTAACTTCTCAAAGGCGCAATGATTACAGCAGGCACATGCTGATCTTTTTGAGCCATGTGGAATCCAGGTCTTAGCAGCCTTAGCAAGATTGAGCAAGCCAAGAACATGTCGTGCTGCACTGTGTGAGCAGGCAATAGATGGAACCGTGGACGAGGCATTGCGACGAGCAGGCCAGCTTGCACCCAACACAGTAGAGTTGAGGTGCAACCTGTGAAGGGGACGCCTACATGAACAGGAGTTGCAACAGGCGACATATCTGCCGTCGCGGTGACAGCCAATACCTCAGTTTGCCGGCACACATGGAGAAGCCACTCGAGCGTCGAGCACCACGCATATCCGTGCTCTCTAAACGTTTTTGACCGATTTCCTCACCTTGACATCTCTTGCCTCAGACGATTTCAGAACTGCTGTTTTGAAGGTGGGACCTGGCCTTGGCCTTTGCCTGGAGGTCGGCGTTCGCAAGGCAGGGCTTGGGGGGTATGGGGGGGCTTTGACAACTCCTGTCTTCGCCTAGCCTTGATAATGTGCTGTGCAACTTTGCAACACGCTCAAAACTATGAACTCCCTCGTCCAGGCCATCCACATAGCTGCAGAACACAGATTGCCGTTGGCCTGCTTGGCTGAGTTTTGGCTTTTTGGATAAATGTGATTCCGGTGGGGCTGCCAGGTGCGCGTGCACCACATGGAAGCTCACATGATGGTGCCAAGCTGAGCAAAGTCGGCTCAACTCGAGACTGTTGCCGCGGTGCCCTTTTCAAAAGGTGACTCGATTGCCTCCTCCCGCCGAAGCAAGCGAAACAAGTGCGCCATAACAGCGGTGTCGTGGAAAGCCGTGGGGAAATCTGGAGGGCAACGAACTGCGAATTCCGACTTCTCGTGAAGAGGCCGGCCAGCAGATCCTCGACAGCCAGATTTTCCATTTATTACGCACGCTCGGCAGCTTGGTGGCTGCGTGTCTTTTGCAAAATCGGAGTCTAGTGCTAAAACGAGTCCATGAGAATGTCGCCAGGCTGTTAGTTTCTGGCGGGCACAACATGGCCGTGCTGACAAGAGGAGCTCTCTGCCAAGTTGATGAAAGATGCGCTTTCAAGTTTTGGATGCATTTTTTGAGTTGAACTTTGCCCAGGTTGGCCGGCACACTATCTTGGGCAGCACCATCGACGACTCAATCGGTGAGGCGTTTGACAAAACGGCTCGGCACTCAACCCCTGCACTTGTGAGCGACATGTGAAGCTGCACGAGATAAGGCCAGGTTGCTGGGGATTACGAAGGCAGCCAGCTCAACATATCCCTTCAAGCTACCCATCTTGTGGCATGTGTTGCAGACGCCGCTCTCTACTTGCTCCGTCAAAAGACGGCAGAGCCCGCTTTGGTTTTTTTTGCGCCACGCGAAGGTTCCTGGTGGACCTCATCTAGAACGCTTGGCCAAGGATGGGGATCCAAAGGCTGTTGAGAGTGACGGCTTGTGCTCGGAGCAGCGTCAAGTGCTCTTTGGCTTGGCCGCCAGGTGCATCCACTTCCAAAGCCGCTTGCAAAAACTAGAGACAAGGCCGACAGGGCCGATTTGTTTGAATGCGTTGATTTGGAGACATGTGGGTCGGTCTCTACAGTAAACCGAGGGTCCCTTTAGGGGTTCCTTTTCATAAGGCGCCGTAACTTAAGCTAGAGAATTACCCATGTGTCGCAAGTCTATTCATGCATAGTGCCTGCAGGTCTTGCAAGAAGGCTGCAACTACTCTTTTTCGGGATTGAAGACAGCAGTCAGGCCCAGAGTTCTACTGTGCTTAGAAGACCTACAGTACCAACCTGACAGTACCTGACCTACGTGCCACGCAAGCAAATCATGGATCCAGTGCGTGCTAGGACGCTGGTTGAGCGGGAGTTGCACAGCGCAAAGTCGGCCGCTTTGTCCGAGGATCAGCGGGCAACCCGAAGGATTGTGCTAGATGTTTGCAGCCTTTCTTCTCCAGGAGGAACTCCACAAAGCCAAAGCAGATGTAGCTGCCGCGCTTAGGCCTTGGGTTCTAGCGGAAGTGATTGTTGCAATTTCCGTCCTAGAGTAGCCCAGGTTTCAGCACATGGCTGTGCGCCATTTGTGCGAACGAGCTTCACGAGCTGCAGGCTGCTTCGATTGACCTTCAAGGATCATCAGGTCTCATAAGCATTTTTTCCGTTTCCTCTCTGTGAGGCTGGGCTCTGGAACTGGAGCCTGGCACCAAATGTCTCGCCGGAGGCCTATTGAGAGTGGAAGCATTCGCCAACGCAATTCCGTAGACGCTGCTGCAAGTGCGGCTGCTACTTGTATTGGCTGCTTCGGCAGTTCAGCCTCCTGAGGTGGTGGCAGGCGGTGTAGCCGCCAACCAGGCAGTGCGGAAAGGACTGGAGGAGGTGCCTGGAGTGGTGGTCACCATTTCTCTTCGGCAGACATTCGAAGACTTGCTGAGCAGACGTGTGTTTTGATTCAATGAGGTGGCCAGAGAGCACAGCTTGCAGATGTGCTGTCCACCCCCGAGGTTGGGTCTTGAGCAGCTTTGCACTTGAGCAGCTTTGCAGCGTGTGCTGGGCGAATCGCATTGCGCTGCATGGCGAGGCTCTGCGTTGACAACGGTGTCATGGTGGTGCTGGGCTTGAACAGTTGCATACTTGTAGTCACGGCATATGTTGGAAGATGTTGGAAGCTTGAGGCTTGGGCAGGGATTGAGCGCTTACTCCTTGGCCTCTTCGAGGACACGGTAGCCTGCACGGCTAGGATGTAACATTGTTGCTAGCAAGCTACATAGTGCCACGAAGGCGAGGTTCGGAACAAGCTCCCGCAGCTTGCAAACACGATCATATCCACTTTCATTGATTGTGAATATACACGGTTTAGATTAGCAGGAGCCTCCTTCTGCTGACAGCTGCAGACTCAGCTGACACAGTCTGCGTGGATCCCATAGGCTTGGAATCCTGCCTCGTGTTTCGCAAGTTTCGCAGCCATGGTAGGTGCTGACAGTCACGTGGAGATACGGCCGCGCTGGCCTTTGGGAGAAAGAGACCCGTCGCCAACCCAGTGGCTTCAGAGCTGCTGGCGGAGCTGCCCGAGATTCCTCGAAGCAGTGCCCCAAGGCGGAGCCAGCAACAAAAGGTCCCGAAAGGCCATCGGCTTCCGGAACCATTTCGCCTTTGACGCATCTGGCATACTGGAAAAGGTCAGAAGCGGAAAGCTCCTGCAGCCGAGCTTACACAATCTGCCAATGAAGCAGAGGCTCAAAGATGTCCAAAAGAATTGCACAGCATGCCGCAGAATGAGCCCATGAGATGTTGTGAAGGCAAAGACTCGATGCGTGGAGGATTCGGAGGATCCTGACCAGTCCAAGGCCTCTTTGGCAGTGGCGATGCAGTGTGCGCACAGCCTGCTTGCATGATAGAAACTGGTACAGTAGAGCAGGTGCTGGTGTGAGAGCTCACACGCAGCATGTCTCAAATGGTGTCCTGCATCATTCTGCACCCGTAGCGCAGTTGTGGCACTTTCATGCTTGTAGGTTTGTGACACGTCCAGATGTCCAGAAGTAATTGCAATATTCTGCACATTGTTTCACTTCCTTCAGGATGCCTCTGCCGCGCAGTTAAAAGGAGAGCACTCGACTTGGCATTGCGCATATGTGTAGCCCTTTTTAGACAATTTCCGTCTCCCCAATGTAGGGACCGCTCCCGGGCGCCTGGGGTCGGAGGCGGGGGGGGGCATGCCACCGAAACATTCGGACGATGGCCGAAATGTCTTTAGAGAGGAGCCTGCCTGACCCCCATCAAAATGTCACTGGACCTTCTTCAAGACGGCAAGTTTGTCTACATAGACCAGCTCCATACTAAAGCCAGTAGGACTTGGAACGAAGTTCCAAAAAGGTCCAGATACTTACTTGTTCATTTTGCCATGTTCGTCTTCCCCCCTTACAAGTTTTCGAGACAAGGTTCAATCTTTTGGGGCTTGTGCCAGGCCTGTGCTGTAGCATTCGCATTGCAGGTCCATGTCCATGTCCATGTTCCGAAGATAACGCAAAGCGGCACGCAGCACGCAGCAGAAGCAGCGACAAGTGGGAACATCTATTTGGGGTTGTTATTCGAAATCGGGTTATCAAAGTTATAGAACTGTGGCGAACCGCAAACAAACGGGAGCCATGAGACCGTCAGTCAGCATGCGCCGAGTCTACAGAAATTTGTGCCAACAAAGCACAAAACAACCCACGCCATGCATTCGGAAATGGCATTTAGACCTGGTTTTCATCAACGGACAAGCAGGACAGGATGCTTTCTCTTGTGAGATGTCCGTCGCTGAAGTGGTGCAGTGCAGTTTGGCATCCTGTCGACATTGACAGGAGAGGTGCTTTTCTTCTCGCTGTCGCAGTTGCTCTGAGCTATTGTGTTTCAACTTTCGTCTTCCCGAACATCGCAAAGGCACCGCAATGTGATGGGGTGTGCATGTGTGGCACAAAAAAGGTGATTTGATGACAGGCGTGCTCGCGCGAGGATGTGGCACGAAGAGTGGTCAGGCAGGCCGCCAAGGAGCTTGCAGTTCGTTGAGCGTTGCGTAAAGTGTTTCGGCCCCGAGCCGCGTATTCCAGGAGAGAAATCCAGTGGAACGAATGCAGAGGTTTCTTCGACCCCGCATGGGGAAGGTGGGAAAAAGGAAAGCACGAAGCACAAGGGTCAGCAAAACCCGACAGCAAGCATTCCTGTGCAGGGAACTGTGCGTGAGTTGCCTCCAAATGCAGAGATGATCGGCAGTTTGAAAATTGTGTACGAGGCGCAGACAGGGTGCCGGATCTGGATGTGTTACGTGAGCACACACGTGCCGAGGTAGTTTTGCAGAAGCCGATGGGTATCGTCCTGGAAGATGGGCCGCAAGGGCCAGGATAAATGGCAATGCGTGTTTTAGCTGGGGAGATGCTGGGGAGACTATTTTTGAACATTGTTGGAATTTGCGGCAGGATTCGGAGTTGGTGTGGCAGACGTGCTTGAAAGCGGCAGCGCGTCCCCTGCTGCAAAGCCACGTGCAGACTCGTGCCGCCTTCTCCATACGCTTAAAGTTTGCCGCCGTGTTGCGAGGTACAAGCTCCTCCAGGAAGTACTTGAAGATGGGAAAGATTCCATGTGGATTCAGGAGCCACGTGTGTTGTACTATCCAGTGGGACTGTGAAGGCGTGTCCCCGGCTTTCGAAGAGAGCCGAGAAACTTGAAGACGATTGCACAAATGCAAGTTTACTAACTTATTCCACTCATACGTAGGACAACACGAAGTGCAGCAAGAAGAACGATGGCAATGGCCGTAGCAATAGCCAGCTGGCAATCAACAACGCACACTGCAGGAAGACATTCCACTTGCAGCAACAGTTAACTACATCCTGATGCTAAGAGCAAGGATCTTTACAATACGGTGGGCGAGAGGCCGCGATTGACAGTCGGTCTCAGCATGGGTGAGAGAGCCACAACAGGCACGTCAGCAGTTGTCTTTCGACCTGGACGTCCGAATGTCTGATTGCGGTCTCCGAATTCGCCGTGTGAATCTGGCCACGCCCTGCGATTACTGTACTATTGCTAACGTTATGTGATGTGGGGCGGCCGAATGTTGTCATTGCCACCTCGTTTCTCACGTCTGCAGCCGCAGCATGGCTGAAGGAGGGGGATGAACTTGAGGCAGTCAACGGCGAGCCACTAGACGGATTCAAGGCGGGTCTCATGGCAGTTTGGGTTTTGCACACAGTGCGACCTCTTTGCGGGCATGTAGACTTGTTGACTTGCGAAATAGGAGAAGGCGACGGAGCTCGTGCAGAAGTCTGGGGATGAAGTCAAACTGACGCTTTCCCGGCCTCGCAAAGGGTACATCAAGGCTTGAGGGTTGAGAGTTGACTGGGCAGGGAGACTTCAGGCCATACCTCTTCCATATCATCCTGCACAGGTGGTTTTTCCTGGTGGGAAGTCCATAACGTCTCCACGGGCCGCCACTTTGGATAGGCTTGCAGAAAAGGCGGCCAGCACAAACATCCCCAAACATCCCTTGCAGACATTGAAACCTGCAAGCTGTGAGGTGGGCTACAGGTCTGGCTGCACATGCAAGGACGGCCGAAGCCCCGAGTTTGGGCCTTGACAACGAAAAGAACATCGCCAAAAATGTCATTCATCAGAGTGGATCGGGGCCGCCCCACCAGGTGCTTTTACAAAGATCCGGCGACCGGTGAGGTCTATGTCCTCCCGCTGCTACTTACCTTGATTTGATTGCAATGCAATATGGCAACGCAAAGAACAAAACGAGTGGGAAGGATGCTTGATGCTATCTCTTGCTAGGAATGTGCCTGGACTCGTGCCATCAGTGCTTTTGACTCAGACTGCACAACCACATGGGTGCGGCGCACGTGTGCATGTTCCGCTGAGGTGGCGCAGATCGGATGAGGGTGGGGTGAGGCCATCCGAAGCGGCAGAACAGTGCCTAAATATCCAAAGGGTTGCGCGATCTCTGACAAGGCCAGGGGAAGCCGAGTTTGAATGCTGGGGCCTTGGTGCTATCCATCGATTACAACACCCTTGGTTTTTGCGGTGTTGTGTGGGGTGTTGAGTTAAGGATATTGGCTTGAGCTTCTGGGGTTTATCGTAAACCCTGAACTTAAAAGTTGGCCGTGTGCACGATCGTCGTAGCAAACGCTCATGTCGATTCTTGCGATCTCTCTCCGCAGTTACAGCCATCATGCAAGGATGTTGGTTGCAGCGATTGACTTGAGCTGTTGCGCCACAGTGATGGATGAGCTCTTGCTGCGAAAGCCTGCCTACACTGCAGGCTACACACCACAAAACCGCCAGGTTTCAAGATATAAGAGCATGCTTGGAACCTAAGAAAGATTTCTCCTGTACCAGAACCCAATGCAAATCAGCAATTTGCCACCTGTAGATTCGCCCACAACAGTAGTTAGCTTTTCGAACAGGTTGCATGTTGTCGGGACCGCAGGCAAGATTGGAATTGCAACCACGAAAGCGGCCCGCAACACCTATCCCGCGGTGGGTAAAGCCCAAAGGCGTACATGAACGAAACGGCCAAAAAGAGCCACGCAAAACATGACACATCCCTTTTAATCATGCAAAATGGTCTCGCAAACCCTGGTGTCTCATCTTCGTGCTTCCTACCCAGACTTTGACAAGTAAGCCTCATGAATCAAAAATAGGCTTGCGCAAGGACTCGAGAAATGGATACTGTAGACGCTGTATGGATTCAGAGTTGGCACAAGTACGGGTCACGCATTTTCATGGCGATTGCAGGACGTAGCGGACAACTCAGGAAAAAGGTAAGTGGCCATTTGTTTAGGAGAAAGCATTTGACAAAGTTATACATTCGCTTCTAGCACATAGGAGCTCTAGCCAGCATCGCCCCCTTCTGGCTATGATTGCTGCGTTTGAGGTTTTAAGCCTGCAGACGCAGGGCGGTAGGGCGTGTCGTGTCGTCACAGGGCTGGACTTCCTTTAATGAGTCAAGCGTCAACCCTGAAAAAGGGTAGATGCAAGAAGTGATTTCATGAGCGCGTGTATCTGTGGGCCGTGAGCCAGCGCAAGGTTGGATTCCTTTGCGCCTTGTGCCAGCTCCTGAAGAGTATGAGAAAGCTATCAAGGCGGACAGCACTTTTTCTTCAACCGTTTGAATTTTGCAAGTATGGCCTTTTGCGTGCGGCTTGCAGGAAGAAGCTGCGGAGAGTGACTTGGTTCTAAGTTTAGAGTTTAGGGTTCGCAGTTCCGAGCTCAGGCTTCAGTTTGTTGAGTTCAGGAATACGAACAGAGTCCTGGTAGAAATAGGTTTGTTGAGATAGAACGATGTCCAGTGTGCCGTTGTGCTTGCGAAATGGCCAAGGTGCAAGACGTGAGCGTGAATAGCTAAAGTCCGCCTTCAACTTTCAACCGTTTTCGCGCGCACTTCTGCGCAACCATGATTTTTCCGACGAGAGAAAGGAAAAACAGAGTGCAAGGTCGCTTCGGCCAGGGAGTCCAGTAACTTAACCACTTCCAGACACCGAACCAAAGAGGCATAGTGGCATAGTGAGGCATGCTTGGGTCGTAGAGGCAAGAGATGGAGATATGTGCCCGTACGTAATAGGCTGCAGGAGGTTGGAGGTCTGAGAAGAGCTACAGCTACACATGTCTTTGAGCTTCGTTTCGATGATTCGAGCTGAGTGTCGGGCGTGGCTTTGCTGAAAGCCAAGGTAGGGCCGCATGCGCCATAAACATCCCTTGCTAAGTTCTGAGCCCGAAGCCCTTGAGTCCTGAACTCGTGGCACGTGGTGCACAGGTGCGAGGCTACTAGGCAGAGGGCAACAAACGCCTAGCACACGTTAATCCGCCTCAGTTTGTCAGGGGTCACCGACATCTACCTTTGGGCATTGCGCGGGAAAATTGGAACGATGCCAACACGTGTTGCATGGCCCTGCACAAGGATGACATGCAGACGCGCACATGACGAAGCAATACCAAGTGTTAAAACTCCTACTAAAGCCTAAGCTCAACATCCCGAATCCCGATCTTGGTCTTGTCGTGTCCAAAGAGAGACAAGAGAGACCCTCTGGCAAAGCGCGCCACACGAAGACAGAGACATAGAGCAAAGGGTCCGATGAGGAAGCTGCCTTTGTGGGTCTCGATCGTGTAGGTTTTGAAATGTTTTGAAGGTTTAGGTTTGGGGCCATCGACGTAACACCGAAGTTTGGTTGCAGCACCATTGATGCCGAGCAGCACTAAGCGGAATCTTTGATCTCTGGGTTCTACGGCACATTTGCTAGCGAAGAGGGTTAAACATGAAGCACAGGTGTCTGCAGCATTGCGAGGTCATACGGGCCACAAGTAGGGGGGGGGGGGTAGACCAAACTCAAGGCCAGGGCATGTGCACGACAAGGAGCCACAAACATTCGCATCACATGGTGCGCCGTGTAATTCGAACTTCAATTGGGTGGGCTCGGGAAGGATGATTTAGGATGGTGGTGCGGTGTTGTCCTCGCGGCTCAACGAGACCTTGGGCACAGAGTTTAGCCCTTTCCATTTTAGGAGTTTCAAGGTCATGAATGCACAGGCCGCCTTGGAAGGTCAGTCGTATCGACCTCACTGAGGTATCTTTCCTTTTCGGGGTCTTTGACGATGCATGACCTGACTGTTTATGGTTTGTTTATGACTTGTTCATGACATTCATGATCAGATCCCCGCCGTCCGCGTGCCATGGCAGGGTCCCTCAGGGCAGGACTTTAAGGGCCCGAAGAGGGAGAAGCCGCCTTGGAGTTGTACCATGGATACCATGGCTGGGAACGTGCTGCAGCTTTCGACCGTCAATGTGCTTTGTGAATGCCAAGATAGCCCCTTGCGGAACGCGGGCAGCCAGTAAAGTCGGCAGAGCCGCCGACTTGCGAGTCACACTGCCCGCGTCGGCAGTTCTGAGCACCGGGGCAGCAGCGGCACCACCTGCTGGTCAAGTTCTTGTCGTCACGCTTTGTGCAGTCGTTCCAGTCATGTATTGGTGGTATGTTCTTGTTCCCTTCAAGAGACGTGAGCTGGCTACGAGCAAGCGCAGAGGTGACGTGAAGGAGTATCTTCAAGATTTGGCCGAAGCACCGGCAGAGGAACGGAGGCCAGAAAAGTGGCTCTACGACAAGTATTTGCGTGAGGCCGAGCTCATGGAAAGTACCGAGGCATCTGGACTCCCGCAGGTAGTTCAAACGGTTGAGAAAGAACTTCAGCAACAGCTGCCAGGCGGTGGATTCTGGAGCTTTGACAATCCTGTTTTCGTTTGTTTAACCATGCTGCTGATATTCTGCACCACACAAGTGATCATGCACAGTTTGCAAGGGTGATTCTTGCTGGTCGCCGGTGTGCACCTTTTCGAATGAACCAGAGACCTCTCTAAGTGCGAGAGAGCTCTCCTCCTCGAGTTGAGTGAGAAAGTGCGGAGAGTGTGAAGATGGCCGTGTAGGTTCCCTTGCATGAAGGCTCTCCCTTTGAAGGCTCCCGGACTGCTCCTCCTTAGAGAGCACCCCCTCTCTCGCCTACCCCCCCCCCCCCCCCCCCCCCCCCCCTAGCTTTGGGACTGGCACACGAGGCTGTGCCAAGCTCCAAGAACCTCCCGCGATGCCACGAATCGACGGTGGATGGGTCAGCATTGGTCAGCATTGTCAGCATTGAAAAGCACTTCTTGGCACGCTTCTGACAGAGTGCCACTATAGATAATTGTCTCGTTTCTAGCTGACGGAGGACATGCCGCAAAGACAAAGCATGTAGGCCGCTGTTGAAGATCGCGGAGAACTGATATAAGTGTCTGATAGCCTTCTCACGTATTTGTAGGTTACGTTCCACGGACAAGGCCAGCTCCCCCTGTTAGTTGATGGCGCGGCTCGCTTTAGATTCTGTGCCTGGCCTTGACCGGAACCCAGCCGTGATCCAAGTCTTCCCAAGTTTTCTGTGGTTGCTCGGGTACAGTCGAGCCATAGAGTTGACTCGAGTGACCCTGTGAGCGGTGTGAGGTTCATGAGCCAACTTGCTACCGGTGTGGCTTGCCCTGAGAGTATCCATTGATTTCCTGAATGTCCTGTTGCACGCTCATGGCGGATGTTTTCCGGCCATTCTGCCTTAAGTGCCAAGGCGGCTACCCTTGGCTGGGCCATGTTGAATCCCTGGGACCCTACAACAAGCTCATACCTTGGAATCTGTGCCATGAAGCTTGTCTGCGGATGGCGCAGCTAAGCTGTCTTGAATGCGGAGCAGCTTGAGGTGGTGCCTCAGACGTTGGGCAGCGGGCATCATTGTGACTTTCACGGACACGAGTCCTGTTGGCACGGAAGACGGAACACAAATGACACCCAGTAACACTCATTGACGCCCATTGACACCCGTGATGGTGCAGGATCCCGTGACCTTGGATCCTTTCATCCTCTTCGGGAAGGAGCGCCGCGTGGATGGAGGCCAGCTGCTCAGTCTCCAAGAGTTCCAGGCGTCTGACCGCCATTATCCGCTATTGGCTTTTGCACGGTCTCAAAGGCTACAACGTTTTCTGGGGGTTCGGTGAGCTGCACGAGCAGGATACCAGAAGCCAGAAACGTCAGTGCCGGATGTCCCACATCCAGTACATTAATCCTACTGCAACTCTTCTTCTTCCTTTCCGTTCCTTGTTGGAAGGATCCTCGCCAAACTGCGGCACGGGAAACTTGTGAAGAGGCCTGGCCACGCTTTAATTTGATTGGCATCCCATTGCAGTGGCCTGGAAGCTTGTCAGGCTCTAGGAATCTTGGGCAGCGAGCAAGAGATCCTTGCATCCATTGCGGGGCAGGCGCGAAAAAGTGGCGGGCAAGCCTTACGAAAACTTACTTGATAAGAAGTCTAGGTACTGTTCTAGGTACTGTGAAGAAGGAGTGCTTGCACCAGTCAGGCAAGTGCTGATGCTGAAGTGCCCTTATTTCTGCACCGGCCCCAGCTTCACGCGGCTTTTGTTTGCTCAGCTTGTGCACTCAGCGACTTGACGTGCACGGAGGCTTGACATTGGTGCTCAGCAGATTGCATCACTTGCGGAGATGCCAGAGCCTGAATGTTGGCGTTAGCTCTGAATGGACCAACTCTGGAGAATCGAGGTACCACGAGAGGCCAGGAGCTGTATTTCTCAGACGGCTTCACCTTTGAGACATCATTAGAATCGTGACACATCTTTGGGACGTGGGTCTAGCAGACAAGTCCTTAAATGGGTAAGAACACCCATGCAACCTCTGTTTCCCCAAACGAAGAGACTGCCAAGTCGGCCTTGCCTGGCGAGACTGAGCGGCGAAACCGAAGGAGCTAGCAGAAGAAAGCGCAGGCAAGGAAAAGCACAGCTGGCCCCAAAAAGAAAGACAGGAATCGCCGCACAGGAAAAAAAATCACAAGTCACCAAATCTGTGTCTTAAGGAGAGGAGGCAGCAGATCACCAACCCACCAAAAAAGGTACAAGCAATCCAAATCCAAAAGCCAGGGATGAATGAAGCAAGAACACGACAAAAGAAAAATCTCACCAGCCCGAGGACAACAGGAATTGTGCAACAACCTGCAATTCCCAGCTTCGCGACAGCACCGTTTTAAAGCTCCAACCACAGAGTTCCATGGTTGTTGGTACACTGCACCCCAGACAGCCGCAAGAAAAAGTCCACTCAGCAGGGTGAGCATCCATCGACACTCTGGGAAGCCAGCGGTTGTCGATGATGCTCACATTGTGTGGCGATGCGGGGTCAATGAAGCGACACGCCGAAAACGCAGAACAACATGCCAAGTGGTGCCGCCCACGAAGCTTGGCATCGCTGCCGTATGCGCAGTTTCTGACACAGTGAAAACAGGAGGTCTATTTTTTAAAGGATTTTTTGTTTTTTTATGGGATTTTTTTTTGTTTTTTGTTCTTGCTACTGGTAAACGCTAACCCGAAACCCCGAAACCCCGAAACCCCGAAACCCCGAAACCCCGAAACCCCGAAACCCCGAAACCCCGAAACCCCGAAACCCCTAAACCCCTAAACCCCTAAACCCTAAACCGTAAACCTGACCCTAAACCCTAAACCCTAAACCCTAAACCCTAAACCCTAAACCCTAAACCCTAAACCCTAAACCCTAAACCCTAAACCCTAAACCCTAAACCCTAAACCCTAAACCCTAAACCTTAAACCCTAAGCCCTAAACCTAAACCCTAAACCCTAAAACCTAAAACCCTAAACCCTAAACCCTAAACCCGAGTGTGAGCGATTAAACCCTAAACCCTAAGCCCTAAAGCAAAAAACAAAAAACCCAAAAAAACAAAAAAGACCCTAATTTATTTCCCCGGCCGTTAAAACACAGAGGTCGTCTCAGAGTTGTGTCTGGGGCCCATGTCGCTTTAAAAATCCGTACCCTTCTCTGACCTTTGCAGGCGGCAGCTTTGGACTTCGGCTGCTCAGAGTCACTGGGCTTGCCAATTGAACAAACAGTTGTGATTGAGTACCGAACGAGTTCGATGGGGCTTTGCATGGGTTCGCGTGGGTTGCGTGCAGGGCCTGGAGCTTTCCAGCTCACTCCAGCTCACCCCAGCTCACCCCAGCTCACCCCAGCTCACCCAGCTCACTCCAGCTCACTCGTCAGGTCTCAAGCCGCTTGGGCCTTGTCCGCACCAGCGAGGCGACGGGTTTACTTCGCATGTGAAGGCATATGCACTTGCAGGCTCGCGCAGGCAAAAATGCAGCCGGGAGGCACGACAAACTGGCACGGTTGCCGCATGCCACTGTCATCGAATCTAGCCTCAACTCTTCCAGGTGATGTCATGGACGCGCTCTTCGCCGTCCCGGCTCAGGAGTTCCTGGCGGCATGCCACCAGATGCAGGCACGGCCGGCAGTCGGCAATGTCTGATGCATGAAGTAAGTCACTTTACGTCTGACGTGTGAAAGGGATGGCGCGGAGGCAAAGGAGGCACACTATTCTTATTTCTGACGGCTCCACTCACATGGAACGCCTGGAGCGCAGGTAGAGCTTCTGTCTCGCTGCACGCGCTCAACGGTGGCTCAGTATGCTTGCCCAAGGCCATTGTCCAACTTTTATTCGGGTGTTGATCTACAGGTCCTCGTGAGGAATCTTTATAAGATCCATATTTCATTTCTATGATGTGTGAGCATCCGCGAAGGATCCTCTAAGAGGTGTGCGAAGTAAATTTTGTTGTGGTGAAAGCTCTGACGACAGGTTGGGACATTGGGCTCAGTTCAAGAAGTTCGTTTTCTGAAAGCAAGGTATAGCGCAAGACTGGCAAAAGCTCTGCGAAAAGGCCCTGCATGTCTCAGTGACATATCCCTGGAAGGACATTCAGTCCTCCCCGAACCCTTCAATCTAAACTGAGTCCTACTGCAAGCTCGCCTGCCCCAAGCCACAGCCCTGCACTGAATCTTTGCCATTCTACATCATTTAGCCCTTCCTCAACGCCCAGCCCAATTCTCACATCCGTAGACGTTTTGTGTAGACTCTCAGTGTAGCCGCATTTTGCCAACGGTGAAAGCGGGCTCCCAACCTGCAGAGGTTGAAGGGATGCGGGTATCCAAGAAGGGTGCGACCTCCTCAGGACCATCGAGAAGCCTTGAGCTTGAGGTCATGATTGTCATGGGAGTTTCCACTTGTTTTTCAGTGGGCTGGCCAGGAGGACTGCGACCAAGGCCGCCAGCAGTTCACGTGGCAAGCCTCTTGGCCAGGCACAGAACCTAACTGGTGCTAGGGAGGTCTGGGGTCTGAAGGCCTGAGCCTCTTCGAATATCTTGGATCTTGCTTTCGAGGCCTCGGACTGAGACAGCCTTCAAGCTCCGCAGCTTCTGTTTGCAAGGAAGGCTTCCTTGTGCATGTATCTGAGTGGCACATGTTGTGCTAGCAGTGCCGGCCTTTTGTGAGAGGACGGGGAGACCACCTGCTTCCTCAGCATACTTTGAACGCCGCACCAATTCCGGGAGTTTCGTGGGACGGAGTTGCAGACGGATCAATGCTGGCGGCACAGGCTTAGCACCGGGCAGTTCTGGCACTTGCTGATCGGCGTTCTCTAACCGAGTCCCTCGACACAGGCAATCTTCTCCGCGACGTGGACTGGGCCACATGGAAGTAGTTCGGCCTTCACCGTCGAGTCGCTTGCAGATGCCTGCGCCAAGTACCTCAGCCACGCCCTTGAGCTGAGATTGACCTGGTCTTGGATTTTGGCTTGTGCTTTTCTGTCTTGATACAGGTAGCTTCAGTGAAGCGAATGTCAAGCTTTACTTGACCGCAGCACCCCCAGAAGAAGCAGCACCAAAAAAAGTGCAGAGAGAGCCGCACAGATCATGTTTCAGCTGTCGCAGTTGGCGAAGGCCTGGATGTTGCGAGCTACAGACTCGCCTCAACAGGCAGGGAGTCATAGCTGAAATCAATCATGTAAAGCCACCAGAATCATTGTGCCAAAGACCAAGAGAAGACGTTGATGTGCAAAGACGCATATGGACACCGGTTTTAGAAATCGTGTAGAACAGAGACCCCAAAAAGGCTCCCGGTCAATGCATCAACAAACAGCACTTAGGCCTCGCATGGCCTCACCGATGGCTTTGAGGGTTGCGGCGGGTTGCGGCGGGTTGCGGCGGGGGGAGGATCTGAGAGCCTGGGACATGATGGCTGCTAAGCGCTGGTGCGTCTGCGCCGAGTGCTCGGCCCGGCCATAGAGCAGGACGAGGAGATGGGGCCTTACAGAATCACAGAATACACTGGATCGACAGTATGATAGTATGAGCCTTGCCGATGTTGGCCCCCGTCATCCTTCTTAGCATTTGTTAGCTCGAAGCTGTGAGAATCCGAATCCACAGAGTGCCAGTCCTCTGATGCAAGCATGCCGAATCGGAGCGCAACTTTCAGTATCCTGATTGCTCACAGCCAGGGAAAGGGGTGTGACTCCGCTTCGATGGAAACTGTCAGTGAAGCTGAATATGCAGGCCAAGCTTGCTGCAAGACACATCGTGAGGCCGGCAGCTTATTGTGCAGTCAGCAAGCCATTGTGTGGGATTGTGGCCATGTGGCATCAGATTGGCCCGGTGCCTGCCCGTGATCTCACTCGTGAATGAACAGGTGCGCAGAACAGCTGTACGCATCGTAGCCAGCATGCGTGGCCAACATGGTGTGGTTCAGGCAGCCATCATGCTGGGCCGTGCACGACAGCTTAATTCTTACATGTGCGCATGGTCTGCACTACACCTGGTCATGCTGTCAACAAGCACGACCTCAGGCGCGTAGACGCGTCTCTTGCTGCGATAGGCACGCCTGACCGCGAGTTTGGTTGCCAGTTGTCATGAGCCAGTCTTGACATGGTTCTCTTTTCTTCTGCAGGCCACGAGAAGAGCGACCACGAAAGCTTGACTTCTTGTTATCAGTTCCTTGCAGGCTACGGGTTTGCGCTGCGCGCCCCATGTGCCTGTTGCTGCTTCGTCCGTGGTCAGCTAGGTGCATGCTTCGTCAACGAGCTGGTCAAGGCAAAACTGTTTTGCTGCCTGTGATGCATGCGATCTGCCAGAAGCTCGCATTGTTGCGAAAGAATCGAAAGACGTCATTTCCGATGAACTGTAGGTCGGCTGTTGTGGCACCATGCCGGCCATGCGGACCACTGATGTGGTACCGGCCTTTGCCCCCATGTGACAGTAATAATTAATACACTCTGATGATGATGATGATGATGATGATCATGCCGAGTTATCTGCAAGCCTTCAAGATAAGGAGGCTGTGTGCAAGAGTCTGTGAGTTGTATCTGTCGATTTCTGCCGTGCGAGACAGTTGATTGCTCTTATCTTCCAAGCGTCGGAATAGTCGCAGGCCTGCTTTCAGACAAGAGTCTGTTGTAATGGGTCGAGGCCAGGGGCCAGGGCGAAGGTGTCTAGTCTAGTGCCACCTGCTTGGGCATGAGGGATGATGTTCTGCAAAGGATTCAAGTTTTTCAAGCTATCGTGGGCTCAACAGTAGGGCTTTTCTCCCAATGCCTCCTATTCCCAGCCAAAAGGCTTCCTGATTGGCTTTGCTGGGTGTCGGAGGAGAGGAGAGAAGAGAGGAGAAGAGAGGAGAAGAAGAGAGGAGAAGAAGACAGGAGAAGAAAAGAGGAGGAGGAGGAGGAGAGAGGAGGAGGGAGGAGGAGAGAGGAGGAGGGAGGAGGAGGGTAAGTAGGAGAGAGTAGGACAGAGTAGGAAGAGGAGAAGGAGTAGGAGAGAGGAGGTAGAATCGAAGAAGGGGTTGGGGGGGGAGGGGGGGGAGAGGAGGAGAGGGGAGGAGGAGGTAGTGGGGAGGGTGTGAGGAGGTAGAGGAGGGGGAGAGGAGTAGGATAGAGGAAGAGATAGGAGAGAGAGGATGAGAGAGGAGGAGAGAAGAGGAGAGAGGAGGAGAGAGGAGGAGAGAGGAGGAGAGAGGAAAGGAGAGGATGGAGAGAGGAGGAGAGAGGAGGAGAGAGGAGGAGAGAGGAGGAGAGAGGAGGAGAGAGGAGGAGAGAGGAGGAGAGAGGAGGAGAGAGGAGGAGAGAGGAGGAGAGAGGAGGAGAGAGGAGGAGGTTTCTCGTCACCAGCAAGGAGAGTCGGGGAGCAAGAGGGGCAGGGGTCAAGCCTGTGATATTTCCCCAGCCCTTGACCTCCCGGTCTCCTTGCAACCGCGCCGGACAATGCCCTGTGCCCTCAAGCCCCCAAGAAGAAAGAAGGGGGGGGGGGGCGGGAACGAGAGTGAACCAAACTTTCTTTGATAAAGCAGTACATGCTCTTGGTTGAAGCGCGTCCGCCGCACGCCTCGGTGAATGTCGCATGCGACACTGCGTTACTCGTGGGAAACGTGCGATCTGTGGAGATTTTTTGAGATCGTGACGTGTGGAGTTTTTGGGAATCAGTGTTGAAGCCGAGGACCAGGCGAGGCAACACCTTGAATCAGCCTGGGCTCAGTTCAAGCCGGCGTGGCTGCCACCGGCTGCAGAGGAGGCGGCCAAGGAAGTGGCACGAGACATCGCAAGCAACAGGATCAAGAAGGCAGATGGTGGTTGAAAGAAAGCCTTACACTTCATGCCACTGCGACGAGTACGAGCATTCTGCTGGTCTTCGAGCCTGGCAGTTCTTTCGGCGAGGCGTTATGCTTGCGGACTCCAAGTTCAGCTGGAAGATCCTGGAAGCTGGAAGCACTTTGCACAGTGCTATGCGGCTGCATGTTGACTTGAAACAGTGTCGGGGACTCGAGATGACTCCAGCCAACCAGCGGCGTCGGCTGATCCGGCTGTCGAGCGGGGCCGGGAGGACGTGCTAGCTGTCATCAGCTGTCGATTGGAGCATTGCCGTGGGAGAGCAGCGGAAGCTCCGAAGCGAATGCCGCGGAGAACTGAGGGCAAGGCTGCACATAAAAGACGCCTAGATACGCCTAGCATCGCGCGGTTCACAGAGAGTGAAACAGCAAGGCTGTTGCAGCATCTCTTCTTATGACGGTGGCTTGCGAAGTGGCATCGTTTCAGTTTGGTGATGTGGTAAGAACGAGCGTTGCCTTCTGCACCGCTAGCTTCAAGGCAAAGGCAGTAGTCGGGACCAGGCAGCTTTGCTTTAAAAGTCGTCGCCGCAGTTAATAAGAAGTCTTGAAGAGGAGCAGGCTTGATGAAAATGCAACAGCTTCGAATCACAAGTCATGCATGCAGCTCCCAATGATGGCAGTGGGCGAACGGAGACCGATCTCACGAGCCCCAGCTGCACATTTGGGAGTACGGGTAGCTGGTTGCAAGTGCGCGCCAGAGTGAACGATTTTGAGGCTTGCGACTGCTACTGGAGATCGTTGTAGACTTTTCAACTGGTTAAGAATTTTCATTTGGTCATTCCTACTTTTGTGGCGGTGATATGGCAGCCCTGTAGCCTGCATTTGGTAATTAGCCTCCTTCACTTTTGCCCTGAAACCTCACATGCGTTGTCTGCTCAGCAGCCAAGCCGCCAAACAGCCTGCTTGTCGAAGGAGCGTCTACTTGGCTGTTATGCTCGACAAGATGGGAGCAATGATGATTTTGCCTTTGCTTCCATACATAGCCACGCAGAAGCTTGTCGGCAGCCTTTGACAATGGGCATTCACGCGCAGCGAGTGCGCGCAGCAAAGGATGAGTGGTTCAGCCTTTGCCGTTGGCTTGATGCAGTCCTTGTACAGCTTGATGCAGGCCTGGACCTGGCATCCTTCACGTGCTAGAGGGGTGGAGAGAGAGTGTGTGTGTGTGTCTCTCTGTGTGTGTCTGTGTGTCTCTGTGTGTGTGTGTGTGTGTAAGCGTGTGTGTCTGTCTGTGTGTCTGTGTGTCTGTGTGTCTGTGTGTCTGTGTGTCTGTGTGTCTGTGTGTCTGTGTGTCTGTGTGTCTGTGTGTCTGTGTGTCTGTGTGTCTGTGTGTCTGTGTGTCTGTGTGTCTGTGTGTCTGTGTGTCTGTGTGTCTGTGTGTCTGTGTGTCTGTGTGTCTGTGTGTCTGTGTGTCTGTGTGTCTGTGTGTCTGTGTGTCTGTGTGCTGTCTGTGGGCTGTCTGTCTGTGTGTGTCTGTCTGTCTGTGTGTGTCTGTCTGTGTGTGTCTGTCTGTGTGTGTCTGTCTGTGTGTGTGTGTCTGTCTGTGTGTGTCTCTGTCTGTGTGTGTCTCTGTCTGTCTGTCTGTGTCTGTGTCTGTCTGTGTCGTCTGTGTCTGTCTGTGTCTGTCTGTGTCTGTCTGTGTCTGTCTGTGTCTGTCTGTGTCTGTCTGTGTCTGTCTGTCTGTCTGTCTGTCGTCCGTCCGTCTGTCTGTCTGTCCGTGCGTGCGTGCGTGCATGCGTGGGTGGGTGTGTGGTGGGTGTGGTGGGTGGTGTGTGTGTGTGTGTGTGTGTGTGTGTGTGTGTGCGCGTGCGTGTCTCTGTGTGTGTGTGTGTGTGCGCGTGTCTGTGTGTGTCTCTGGGTGTGTGTGTGTGTGTGTGTGTGTGTCTGTGTGTGTCTGTATGTGTGTGTGTGTGTGTGTGTGTGTGTCTGTGTGTGTGTGTGTCTCTGTGTTGCATAAGTAAGGTCTTTGGAACCATGGTGTTGGGCGCGCTGTCCGACAGCTTGGGCAAGCGTAGGACTCTTTGCTGCATTTTGCAGGGCAATATGAGAATGCTACTTTCAGCTGTGCAACTTCGCACACCGTTTTCGCATGTATCAGAACAAGCTGAGGATTCTCCTGGTGAGCCTCTTCAGCTCTTCCGTGTTCCTGCTTGCCTGTGGACTTGCCGTGCCTTGGTAAGTGCATAATTCTGCTCGTTGGTATATAGTGATTCATGCTTGCGAACCTTGATGTGAGGTTTCGCTCTGGCAACTGCTCCTGTTCCGTGCCTTGCATGGTTTCTTCTCAGGCACTGTGCCTGGGTGGCACAAGCTGCTCCCACTGCTACAATGGTGGTGTGTGCATGTGTGCATGTGTGCATGTTCTAGCCGGTCTGTTCTGGAAACTGCTCTCCAAGGTTTGCATTTGCCAGGCTATTGTCGCTGATGTCACCGGACCACAGGAGCCCACTGCCGAAGCCCCCACAGCTTTGAGGACGCTCAACCACTTCGAACTTGCAGGAGCGAGTGGGGAAAATGGCCATGATCATGGCAGCTTATGGGGCCTGGGAGCCCATGTCACAATGTCACAGGATATGGAAACATGGAATGTTGAAAGAAAAGAGCGTAGAGAAAGACACCCTACTTCCGCGTCTTTGCCTCGAGGTGGGCGTCGTCCTGGGCCCTGGCCTGGCAGGCTTCGTCGCCCCGTTGGGCGTGCGCTCTGCCTCCAATGGAAAGCAACGAAAACCAGACAAAAACGAGAACGCAACAGCAGAAGACACATCGTATGCATTTTATATGCGAAATTGCCGTGCCATCTGTGCCATCCCAGCAGTCCGTTCTCTGCCCCTTTTGCAGCTACTCAGGCTGGCCGTGTGTGCCACTGCTTCTGTGTGTACCCTGATCAACTTTCTACTGGCTGCATGGCAGCTCCCTGCCTCTTGCTTGAGTCAGACTGACATTGACATGAAAGTACGATGAGTGTGTTGGGAGCTTCAATAGGCGGGTTCGTCAGAGCATCAGGATGGCAGCAAAGAAGAAGTGGTGAAGGCTCTGAATTTGGCTGGGTTTAGGGTTCGCTTCACAGTCCCATGGCGCGCGACAATTCCGCGTGTCAGGACGAGGGAGAAGAGGCTCCCAGAAAGCTATGGTTGTGTTGCAGTAGCACTTGCTCTGTGCAATCATCATTCTTCATGAATTACAGGCGACATCCGCAGGCACGTTCTCTGGATGGAAGCGGCTATTGCGTGTGCTGCTTGTCGATCCCGTGCTGGGAGCGGCTACTCAGTTTCAGTCAGCTTGCAACGTGCACATGAGCAGACCTTCTCTGGATCCGAAGCGGAGTTCCAAGGTTTGCTGCATCAGCCTCTTGCAGGAGCTTGCCGAGTTGTCGACTGCAGCCACTATGTAGTGGCTGTAGGACATGAGAGAAGTATATGACGAGGAGTTTGCAATGGGCGTTTATATGGGGGTGTCCCCACTGCTTTTCAAGGACTCTTCTCAAGCACTCATTCAGACTCATTCAGCAGTTAGCGTCGTTCGCGTGCGCAAGATGCCGTGCGTGGACATGGAATGTTTTGTCGCGACACCTCAAGGATAGGTATGGCATTACGGCCGGCCAGCTGGGAATCATTTTTTGCGTCGCGGGTGCCAGCATGATCGTCTTCCAGGCATGTCAGTGCATGGAATGGGAGCGAGGAAAATGAAGATGCAGGCTCAAGATTTCAAGCTTTAAAAATTGAAAGGAATTTGCTTTCCTTGTTCATCATACATGGCTGGTTCTGCACAAAGCTTGCTAGGGGTTTGTCGTGAGCCGTTTCGTGCGAATCCTTGGCAAGCCACAGCCCAAGTTGCAATTGGGCGCTGGCACGATGTTCGCGCTCCAGATCTTGTAACTTGCAGCAGCAACAGGTCAACGAGCATCACTTGTGGCTGTGTTCTACGAAACTTGCCTGCAGAGCAGCACTCGACTGTCTCAAGAGATCCACAGCAGATGCCGATATGTTCCGATGCAGGCCTGTTGATGTATGGATGTCTTGCTGCATTCTGCCAGCCACTGCTTCCAATGCTTTCTGCAGATGCTTGGCTTGATTTGAGCGCTTGGATGTCGAATGAGCCTAAGCAGGCAATCTTAGAAAACAGAGGTGTGTGTGGTGGCTGGCGGCGCTTTGATTGCCCTCTTCTGAGTGACGGGGTGTGAGTCTGAAAGTGCATGCACTGATTCGCGGATATGAGCCCAGAGGACCCGTGTGCTGCAAGCCTGACCAGCGACAGGGCCCCCAAGGCAGGAGCTAGTTTGGAAGTTGGGAAGGAAAATCCTTAGGCATCTTTTCGGCATCTTGCGTGTCTTGCTGGCAGGGCCTCAGCGGCGTCTTTATGGGTGCATACCAGGCCAGCTACATCTCGACACTTAGAGACCAAGATTTCAGTTGCTGATAGCTTGCTGACTGCCGCAGTCTGCTGCGTCGGTGGGTGCCTTTATTGGGCCAGCGACTGGTGGACTGCTGTATAGTTTCTCGCAGCTTGGCAGCAAGGCGTGCTAGTCTCAAAGGTTGTTTTTTTTTTAATACTCGCTAGTTCGAAGGCGTTCTCACCTTTTTCTCAGGCTGGAGCTGCCATACAAGGTTGCCTGTGCAGATGGCTGAGCAGGTTTTGTGATGCAGAGGTTGCGTACCCTTGCGTGGTGCGTCGTGGCATTCGTGAGCCATAGAATTGGGAGCCTTTGGCACAAGGTGGCATCCGGTGCATGCCTGCCAGTGGTCTATCTTTTATGGCACCAACCTTACTTGGACCATCGGCTGATGCTGAAGATAGAGGCAGGAGCACGCTGCCCAAATCCAAGGATGCACGTCAAGCCCAAAGACCGAGAACATGGCCCAGCACTCGAGAAGAACACAGCGACAAACTCGTTTTGACTTTTCTTTGTCCAACCATCTGCGTCGGTAAGCTCAATGTATTGGAAGTCAGCGACACTAGAACCGCGGAGATGCGAGGAGGCAGGCAAACGCGAGGACATGCGATGCGATGCGAGCAACTGCGAGGAGGCTTGAGGAGGGGCGAGGATTGGTCTAAACTCTGCTCATGAACAGTTCATGAGCACAATTCCTGCATCTCACCGGGCTCACTATTAAGTTCGATCTTTGAAGAAGGTATGCTGCCAGAGTGTTGGGAGAGCCGTTCGGGTGGGCTGAAGGCTGGTGCAAGACGTGCCAGACTGAGCATAGCAACAGTATAGGGCGCCAGGGCTAAGTTGCGGACCATCGGCGCCGCCCACTTGCCCGAGCCGTACAGGCTCTTTGCACTTTGCCCCCTGCTGAGTGAAGGCTTGAGCTGAGCCCGACCTGGCACTCGTTGCCTTCTTCTTGGGCTCCGCCCACTGGGCTTTTTTGCCTTGCTCGCGCAGATGCCCCCCCCCCCAAGTTTCAATCCAAGCCCAAAGCAGGCTGAGTTTCGTAGCAACATTGAGCTAGTTGCATTCTTGGCAAGGCAGGGAGTTTGGAAGTCAGACCAGGCAGTCTTCTTGCCAAGGCCACCAGACCACAGCAACATCAGATCCGCTCCTGGACAAAGATAGCCAGGCGAGCTGAGAAATTATGCGCGATAATCACGAGAGCTAGCGGAGCTAGGTTTGTGTTTAGTCTTGCTTTAGCAGGTATAGGGACAGTTCGCAATATTGTCGGGGGTTGGGGGCGCTTTCTGTGTTAACTATACTTTTGTGATGCTGCCAGAAGACAGTAAGAAGTTTAAATTTGTTCCTTTTAAGCTCTAGAACTGGGAAGATACGCTTCTCGCAGCCGGTTCAGAGCACAGCAGCGTCTTTCTCTTCGCTTGATGATTCGGCGTACCTGGTTGCTCCAAGCTCTAGAACTTCCAGGGAATATAGGTATGAACGGTTACAGTGGCAGGGAAGCAAAATAAGACATAAAGAATTCCAGGCCACAATAGTCGAGGAAGTAAAGGTTCTCCTATCAACATAGTATAGAAGAGATGGGGGTTTTGCTATTGAAGTTCCCGGAAACCGAAGCCAACAAACGCCGCCCCTAAAGTCATGATTCCACAAAGACCAGGCTTCAGTTGGCTTTTTCTGTGCCGGTTCCAAGTGCAAAGCTGCAATGTGCCAGCCTCCTATTGATATGCGCATGCAGTGGCATGTGCTTCAGGCGGATGTTTCGAGGCTAACGTTTTTTGCACAGGCGGATGAGGATGACTTTGTGGATCTGCAGGCCCAGGCTCCAGCAAGCTGGCATGGGTGAAGTAATGGAAATGCCAGGAAGCCTCTCCATCGCTGACGCGAGCAATGACGGGCCTCAGGCAAGGAACAGCCAAGTTGCCCGTGCTTGCAATGCAGATGTCAAATGTGGCTCAACCTGCGATGCTCAAGCCATGCCGCACATCACAGGTCGGTGGCAGATCTCCGCCCAGCGCTGAGAAATCTGAGAGCCACAAGAAAGCCGAGCTGTCTTGCCAGAGTGTTGTCCTGGTGCGTAGGGCCTTGTGGCCACATCCCTAGCAGGTGCGGACATGTTCCAGCTGCCCGTTCCCAGCTTGCCCCAATGCGACCGTAGCCTGAGACACATGGACAGGGACTGAGACAGGAATCTGAGGCTTCGCAACTGAGATGTTGCTCTCGCCTGTGTTTGCTGATTGTTATCTCAGCGAGTTTTCAGGATCGAATCACGGAGGGCGTTGAGCACTTCCACCTCAAGGATCGCTCCAGAACCGAAATGCTCTCGCAGCAGGAGCCATCAAGGTGCGGGAAGCGGTCTGACCTTTGGCCCTTGAGCCGGTTTGGACATATTGAAGTGAGAGTTTATTCTCGAATGGCGAGACTTCCGAAGTTCCTGATAGCCAGCGCGAGCTACGAAGTAACAGTGCAGACTGTGACAACGGCTGGTGTGAATCACAAGGGGTAGACGGTCATGGCGCCTCCCAGAACAAGCACGGTTTTAAACCACTCCTCAGATCCGACTTGGGCTTCTGTCATCGCCGCCTTTCTCAAGGATAATTCATGTGTGCGGTTGCGTGTCAAGTCCTCAAAATCTTGGACCCGTGAATCTTGTTGCGGGGAGAGCACGATCTCCACACCTAGCCTGGATGTCATTTGCGTCTGCCCTCTGCTAGGCCTTATGTCTTCTGAAAAGGCCCCGGCTTAAGACTCGCTCACACAAACGGAAGACACGAGCTGGCGAACAGGCGAACATGGAGCGGCTCATGAAAATGCTGGGTTCTGCAGGGGGTGGGACTCCGGAACTCGGAACCCTGTGGACTTCCCCGGCAGAGGGTTCCATCCCGCACGAAGCACAGGAAGATATAGAAAGCATCCAGGACCGGGCTTGGAATGTTTGGGGTCGCGCGGGGAGCGTCGCGGAGCTTGTGCAGGTAGAGCACAGCAGAGTAGAGAAACAGTGGAACATTTCCAAATGAATTGAATGTAACAGCAGCGCCCAAAACTGCGAAGAACTCATGTGCACGACAAGTGTCTTTGTTGTTGCGCCGCAGGCGGGCCCTCAGCAAGAATCTGGAGAAAGCAATTCTCAGACGATATTCCATGGATGCTCTGGACAGGTGCGCGTATGCATCCCACACAGTGAAGTCATGCATGGGGTGGACCTACTAGATATTTGCAGTGAAGAGTGCTGCTCGACGGCCGTCTTGTTCTCGCCGGGTTTGGGCCCAAGACAAGCTCAAGCTGCGTTAGCTGTTTCTGCATTGGTTCTCCTGGTTAAATGCAAAGAGGACCGCGTTGCATTGCCAAGTTTTCTGCCTGCTCGGGAAGAGTAGCATGGAACTGGAGCTTCTCACCGGCAAGTCAGGAGAAGTGGGTGAGCAGTGCTACATACTTGCTGGTGCCACGGGCAAGGCAACCCAGTTTGTGTCCTGGCTGCAGCCTGTAGAAAAGCTGCACTTGTACGGACCAACATGCCCTGTCGCTGAACTACTGTAGTATGTGCTCTTGCGGTCTGTGCCCCCATGCAGGTCTTGTTTCTATGCTGCTGCGCAGTTGCCCGGCAGATCTTTTTGGAATGATGTCCCTTCTGATAGCACCACTTGCAACGTGAGAGTTCCAGGTATTGTAGCTCATTATGGCCTAATCACCTAGCCCTTTAGTTGAACCTCAGCTGGAAAAGCGGGTCTGACCGAAGAAGTAGTAATCTTCATGTACAGCCTTCATGTACAGCCAGGAGTTAGCTCCAAATCCAGAGAGTGTTCGGCCAAGTTTCGACCAAAGGATCCACATAGTGGTTGGCTACAGCAAGCTGTTTAGCACAGAAGTTCAACATGGCTTTGGAATTACTGACATGGCTGTCGAGTCCGAAACTTTTTGCAGTCTTTTGAGAGTTTGTGCACTCCATGTGGGGGTGTTCTGCAAAGTGCACGTATGAGGTGATTCGAGGCGATGTGCTGTAAGGAAGCGCAACCAGCAGTCAACCAGTGCCAGCCTGCGCAGGCTTTGCTTGTAAAGTGGTCGCAGTTCCACGATGGCCGCGACTTCTCAGAATTTCTGATGGATTCTTCGAAGCAGCTGATAGGCCGACGGGATCTACTATGATGTCCACACTGTTGGTTTGACCGCTTTCTCCAAGAAGTTACGAGCCATACTTGGACTCGAGAGAGTGACCGGACCTCTGTCAGGGGCAGCTTGGATCCACCTACTGAACTTGCTGTTCGCGTCGCTTGGATGCCTGAGACTGCCCTCAGATGGATGCACTTGAGGTGTACAACAAAGACTTAGGCAACAGATGGAAAAACATTTCGAAAGAGCAGGGGGAGATGAGTGCGATTGGTTCGGCGCTTACACTGCTTTGTTTCTGTCTTGGCTTCTGACTCTAGTGATTGGAATCTTGCTGCTTAGGTACTGGATAAATATAGTGGTGGACTGCACGCTCGGCGTTGCCACCACGTACATGCTGCTCCAGCTATCGTCCAGGTCTGCATAGTCTTCCAGCCTGCGTGTTTTCTGGCATTGCCTTGAGATATTGCAGCTGCCATGAACAGGATAATACAGGCCTCTCTCCCAGAACAGGCATGTGTGTCTGAGCATGCCTCCGCACCAGCATAACTATCTGTAAGTCTACAGGACTGCCTCCATGTTCAAGTCATATTTGTGGAGGCTTCGGATTTCAAGACCGGTGAGTACCGGGTCAATGGCGGCATAGATGCTGCGCCTCTAGAGTGCAAGGGAAGGTGCTGTGGTCCTGAAGTGTCCAAGCTTGTGTGGAGCTTGAAGTCGCCTTTTGTTTTAACCGAGGAAGTACATCAAGCAGCTGGCTGTGTGGCTCTTGATTGTGAGCGCGATGTCGGCAACCCATTTTTTCAGCTGCGCAAGAAAAGTTTTGATTAGTTTTAGCCACTATGTCACTATGTTGCGCAAGAACATGTGAGGAAGGTGGGCATGGCCGTTTTCATGGCGATCTTCCATACGCTGCTTCTCGCCCTTGCTCGCTTAATCCTCACGCCGTATCTGGGCTTCAGTTGGCAGAGTGATGTTGTCGGTGATGCCGAAAGAATTCCACCCCAAGCTTCCCGAAGCTTTCTCCCATCTCAAGGTTTGCATCCAGCCCGAATCTCAAGCTGCTGGTGGCGATGATAGCTACGCCATTTTGCATGAACGCTCTTCAGTTCTGGCTTACTGACAACTTCATCAAGAAGCAAGGCGTGGGCGCAGCTTTCGCAGGTTTGCATTTCTAGTTGTGGGTCCTTAGAAAACAGAAATCCGACAGTGGCGCCTCAAGCTCAACTGGATCTCGCAAGCTAGCAGTGCGCTGTCCGGCTCTATTGTACTTGAAGCATTGTTGAAGCATTTTGGTTGGAGCCAGTGTTCAATGTGACAATGTGACCTGTCATCCTGAATTGTTCTTCGGACCTCCGTGCAGATGAAACCTGCAGGTGGCGCGGCCGAAGTGGATGACGACGCTACTTTCATGCAGATACATGATGCACTCGTCCCATGGGCAGACAGCAGCCCAGAAGGTGCACGAACTCCTTGTGTTGATTCTGTCCAGGACATTGAGATGGACGAGCGTGGGGGCCGCACCAAGATTGATCACGGAGATCTGTAAATGCTCTAGACAAAGATGCTACGAGCTGACGTTGTGTGAATTCACCAACACATTTCGCCAATGATTGCTCGGATTCGCACACTCGAGAAAGATGCGAACTGCTCCAAGAGATCCAAGAGATGAGCATCGCAGTGGCTTGCCCGTAGCTCGCCAGTCCACCGATTCCACCCTGCCGAGGTGGTCAACAGAAGAACTGGAAGAGCACTAGTCGGCGAGCTTGAAACGAAATTTGGTGGCCAGGGACGGTGTTGCTCGGGGAATGCAGTGAATGCAGGTTTGTGCAGCTTATGCCCTTGCATGGCTACATGGTGCTGCCAAGCCAAGCGCCCATACCCTGTTCACCTCGCAACACATGTGGCTCAGCTTGCGCAGCTCGAGCATGTTCATACTTCTTCAGGCCAAACTTTCTTCATGTGTGATGGTATACATGACTTCTTGGCTTGATGCCGCCCGAAATCCAGTCCTCACATGACACGAACCGGGAGTTTCCGTGATTACGTATGTTGAAGCAAGTTTATTAGTGGGAAAGCGTGCAATGTCGGAGACCCTGAGGCGCGGAACGGCATAGACAAGCATGGCGATTGCATTTTTGAGTTCTTTTACGGTAGAATCGAGACCCTACGAATTCAATTAGATTGCTGCCGACGCTGCCACTCTGTCAGGTTTGTTGGTGTGGCGCTTGCTGCCGTCTGCTTACGGGTAGTCTTGTGACCGTGCGAACCTGATTGCAATTTGCCCACTGTCATGTGAACGGATGCAGGCCATGGTGGCATTTCGCTTTGCCAATGAGCTTGGCATCATAGGCAAGGGATAGAGCTACCTGACAGCCGTAAGCCAACCAATCCGCCCTAAAGGCCCTTTAAAGCCCTTGCGCAGCAATGCAAACTACGCATGGCTGTAGTTGGCAGGAGTCGATGGTGAGGTTCCCAAGAACACAACTCTTGCTGGGGCCGTAGGCTTACATTTGAACGCATGTTGCTCTGAGTTCGGGAGAATGCTGGGACATACCGATATATTGAATGATTTACTGCACGAACTTTCACACGAAGCTGTCAAGTTCCTCTCAAGGAGCTTCCTGCCGAACCGGCGAAGGACACGCATTGGAATTCACATGCGCAGCAGTGTGAAGCCAGGCAGATCCGTGGAGTTTCGGCTGTCTGCCAGCAGTCTGCCAGGCTGCGTTGAAGCAAAATACGCCGCCACATCTCAGCTCTTTGACTCAACGCAAAAGCATAGAGCAGCAATGTGGGATCGAACGCAGATGAGGGCTAGTGATGTTGTGATCTGTTCTCGACACCTTGGACTCACTTTCCAAAATGTGCGCTCCCGTGCACATTGCTGCCTCCGAGGCGAAAACCAGGTTCTTATCCAGTCACGCCCCTGGAGCCCCCATTGCCCGCCATGCTGGATAGCGTATGATGGCGTTCTGTTCAGGTATTGCACGAGCTGATCTTACAAGGGCACCTATCAGCAGGTGTCCTCCATCCTGAAGGACAGATGCAAAGAACACAAAAGCACACATACACACATGTGAGCCATGTACCAGGGCCATCCGGTTTTTCCAACAGACACTCGCAAGTGCGCCTTACGTTTGGTACGCCATGTGGCATCGGCTCAGCCAAGGGCGTACATGCACCACACCCAACATGTTCTGATCACATGCGCGTCATCAGCTGACAATGCATTACCGAACGTTGACATTGCCGCTTCTCGGCACGTATCACAAACATGGCCAATGGGAGCTTGCAGCTGCTCAGCGCGTGACTGGGAAGAGTGCATTCTGTCCACCGTGTCTTGCTGTGAATCATCTTCTGCAATGCTGGAGAATGAAGCTGTTCTAAAAGCTCATGCTGCGGGGACAAGAGTGACGCCAGCAGTACTGGTCCTTGGCGGATCCACATTCATGGGACGAGAGACAGTGCATGCGCTGTTGCAGTTGCCCGCTCGCGTGTGTGTTGTGAACCGGGGACGTTCCTATTGGGGGACCCGGGACCCTTCCAATGGCCGTGTTGCCCGAGTCGTGGCAGATCGACGAGACAAGCACAGTTTTTCTGAGCGTTTGGATGAGGTGACGACAAAGCTGGAAGAGAAGTGGGCCCTTGTAGCAGATTTTTCGGCTTACGACGGTGCCGACATCAGCTGTGCTCTGAAAGGACTTCGCGGACGTTTTGAAACTTATGCTTATATATCATCAGATTCGGTCTATGAAGTAAGTTCTGCAGCAGGGTCTGGGTGGGCGCAGCATGCTCAGGCTCAGGCTGTGGACGAGAGCTTCTCTCAGAGACCTGCAGATGATGCTGTGCGAAAGAGACTGCGCAAGGCAGATAGCTATGGTGATGGCAAGCTTGAGGCCGAGGAAGCGTTGGCTGCAGGGCTTGAGCACACGGCAAGAGGCGTTGCACTTCGCTTGCCTGATGTCATCGGCCCGTTTGACGACACATTGCGCTTGTGGGCATACTGGCACTGGTTGCGGGTGCCGGACAACCCGCCTCAAGTTCGTAAGCAGACCAAGCGAGCCCGACTCGAGTCCTCGACGTCGACGCACAGTTTCGAAGATCCGCCGCTTGCTTTCGTCTTTAGCCGGGATGTGGCACGCTTCCTAGTGCAGCTGATTGGCCAACGGCTTGACAAGAAGTTCGATGCGGTCAATGTGGGAAGTGACATGCAGGTTCCTCTTAAAGACTTTTTGGATCTCCTTGGCAAGGCCTCCAAAGCCTCCAAAGCCTCCAGCCAGGGCCCGACTGCAGAAGCGTTTGACGAAGTAGACCGGCCGCGGAGCTTTCTGCCGAGCGTGGAGCGGCCACTGCCCTTGGACTTCCGACACCTCAAGCAGACGTATGCCTTCCAGTCCACCCCATTGCCGGATGTTCTCAAGATTTGTGCTGACTGGTTTAGCCTGGCATGCGAGGAGTTCCCAGAAGAGGCAGCAGAAGCGGCCATGAAGCTACCTGCTGCAGCTCGAAATGTTGCGTTGGCTTCAGCAGAGCTACCTCCACCAAAGAGCCCTGCAAGCTCATCGAACTCAAGTACAAGCTCCAGTCATTCTTAATCGCATGCCAGTCATATCAGTCATCACCTTGAAACCAAGCAGCCGAGACTCAAAGCGACGTAAACAGCCGCACTGCGCCTTCTGAATGCATCAGCTGGAAGCTCTGCAAGCTTCGCAGCTCTGCTTCCTGCTTGTCAGGAACGTGCTCTTGCTGACTTGGAGGCTTGGGCACCTTCTGTGGCTGCATGTGTTTGTCGGCTGTCGCGCCGGGCTTTCTGGAAGAGGTGAGAGGGATGCCGTATCCGGTTCCGACGTCCAAACAGCACTTGGAAGCAATAATATGAGATCAATGTGGAACAAGTGCTGGGCGCATGTATACGTAATATGTCGTTACGTATATGTATATATGTATATATGTATATATGTATATATGTATATATGTATATATGTATATATGTATATATGTATATATGTATATATGTATATATGTATATATGTATATATGTATATATGTATATATGTATATATGTATATGTATATATGTATATATGTATATATGTATATATGTATATATGTATATATGTATATATGTATATATGTATATATGTATATATGTATATATGTATATATGTATATATGTATATATGTATATATGTATATATGCATATATGTATATATGTATATATGTATATATGTATATATGTATATATGTATATATGTATATATGTATATATGTATATATGTATATATGTATATATGTATATGTATATATATACACATGCATTTATATTTACATGTAGATGTAGATGTATTTCTACATACATAGTATGTACATATAGACTGTACATGCGCGCATGCATACATGTGTGTCATTGTGTGAAATCTCAAATGTCAGCTTCTAAGGTATGCGTCGAATGTCCGCGTCCAAAAGTGTGGTGAATGTAAGCTGGCTGAGCTTCGCTTGCGCCTCCCTTTGCAAGTCCGCCATGTGATCTCACAGGCCGTATTCATCGTTCAGATTGCCTTGTGGGCAATGCTTTTCCTGGGAGACGCCATCTGTGAGGCGATGAAGGCCCGATCTTGGCAACGTACAGGTGGACTGCTCCTCGGTGCCCACCTCTTGCCAGGTGCCCAAACCAGACATTCTCTCCTCCGCGCAGGGGCCGGGGGCTGAAGCAGAGTGAACAAATCATATCCTACATGGATTCTACATGGTTTGTGGACATCGTAGGACATCGCCACGTTCCAACATGCTCGTGTCGTGACAAATGGCGAAAGGAACAAGATGATGTCGTTTATGGCGGTTTGGCTCGCAGACCCCTCAGTTCCAGCATTGGGCGGCCCAGGCCCCATGGTGGTGACCTTTGCTTGCAAAGGTTGGGAACATGGTGTCGGCCCAGCTGCTCAACACCGGAGCGTTTGCCTGGACCTGAGCTGGGCCCATTTGTCCTTGCCAAGCGCGTTTCGGCTTCGCTTTCTGACGCAGCACATGTACAACGCCCGGCAACAAGACAGGGGTCTCTAGGGGCACCTTGAGGCTGCCAATGTTCTGCCCTGGCCAGATCTTGTCAAGAGGTTCGGTAATTGGGTAACAAGTTGGGAAGTTTTGGGCCGCAACCAAAAACCTTCAACGGCCCTTTCGAGTCAATGAACATGGCAGTTGGAGTGTGAGCCCACTGTTCTCCAAGTCTTCACACTGAAGTTTCCTCTAAGTCTAAGTCTCCTTCGGCCTCATGGTCGGCACATGGTCCGCACGGTCCGGCCCCAAACCCGAAATCCTCAACGCTTCTTGGGGCTTTGGCGCAGAAAAATCTTCTGGGTTGATGCAGGGAACCGTTTACGGCTTAGGTCAGAAGGATGCGGCTCTTGGCGCTAATAGAGCAGGGGGCCTCCAGGCCATTCCAAAAAATTCTGAAAGATCCGTGCCCTGGGCAGCCTTGAGTGCGCAGGTTCCCTCAAGCCTTGGGGAGGCCCAAACGGGGGCCACTAGCGTCGTGTGGGCTTACTTTGGCATATGTTTTCTTGAATTGAAAGGAATTTATCGGTTTTTGGTCAGTCAATTTTCAGCTTTTACAAAATACAAACAACTTCAAACTTCCGCGGTGCTGTGGCTGGACGGGTAGCAAGAAAGGACTTCCATGCACTATAAAGTACATTGCAATCCTTTACACGTGAATCAAGAATAAGATAGAGAATACGGTGCAAATGGCACGTGCAAAATTCCTAAGTTGCGAGTGAAATGCCCCCAATAGACCATTGATGTCCTGAATTTCCAAGGGTGTTTATGTGAGCCTTTTGTGCCCGTTAAAACATTATGAAACTATTTATATTACTAGGAAAACCCTATATTTAACACCACGTTTTGGTAAAACCCGCGATTTCGTGCATGTTATTCTAGCACCTCTTGGACGTATCTTTCGCTCGCGCCTGAGGAGGCCCTTGAAAGTGAGGATTCCTGGGGTGATCACTTCATGACCTTGAACTTAGATGTTAAGTTAAGGAAAAGCTCATGGAACCGCCGGGGAATTTAGGAAGAGAGAACAAAGGGAAGGGGGTTTGGCCGCCCAAAAGCCAAAAAGTCAACGACACTGGTGTTTGGAGCCTTGTTTGGACTGTCCATAAGCCCCTGTAAGCCTTCCGGGCTTTCAGAGGCCTTGACTTCTGTTGTTTGGGGTGCCCTGGGTTGCCGGAGAAGAGCTCAACAGACCCCTGCGAGTAGTCTCAGCTTGCTGTTGCGGTCTCAGTTTGCTTGTCTGACCGGCTTCCTTCGACATGTCTCCGGTCGGTTCCGGAGTTCCGGGTGTGTGTTCCAGGAAATTCAGCATGGAGATCAGCTGATTTGGCCCTCGGCTTAGACAGCTGACTTCTTGCTCTGGTGTACAAAGCTCATTCTATTGCAAGGTCGTCCCTGGAGATGCAGTCAACAGCTAAGTTCACGTATGTTCTCTCGTGCGACCATGGACATGAAGGGCAAGCTGTTAAAACCAAAGCAAGGCGGCTGCCAAATATGGCCGACTTGGTGCCGCTGCCTCGAAAGCAACGCTTGGAAGTTTGTCATTGGCATCGGCGTGCCCATTCGACCCCTTCGACTTATTCAGGCAAGCATTTGCCAAGTCAGAAGCTCATTGCATCTCATTGCACTCTCCGTCTTTTGCTGTGCATTCTGTATTCTGAGCTGTGCACTGAGGACAGGTGTCGAGTTTCTTCAGCGCTCTGAGGTCTAAAGGTGGGTGTCTAAAGGGTGTAAAGTGTAAACCATCTGATGGTATTTAGGTAGCACTTAGGTGCGAGGTGGTGACAAATGATGAGTTGTCGCTGCGAAACTTAGCATGATAGTGGGGTGTCGCACATGCTCCAAGTTTCACACGTTGCTTGTTTCGTTCGCAATAGAAACAGCAATTTGAAATCAACGGCGGAGGTGCGTTGTCATGAGAGCGCGCTGCAGTTGTGGATGTTTCTGTGCCATTACGCAATGAATCAAGATTGTGCATTGTGTGGTGACTAGAGTCGCGCATCTTTCAGGATATTCCGTGTCCCGCCATGCGAAGCCGTGAATGTGGTCAACTGTCCGTGTTTATCAAAGTTGTCTTTTGGCTGTCCTAGAGGTTCGTAGATCTGATTTCCCATGCAGTCTGAGAGCCCAGTGTTGGCGAGCGAATGAAAAACGGGCGGCTGGGGGCCATCTGTTTGTCCCCTTATGCCCCCTTTTGACAGCATCGCGCTTGGGTTCGTCAGGCGTATGCGCGGTACAGATACAGGTCGACATGATTGTGAGTTCAGCTGCAAGAGGCAGCTGGGGGCCAGCATCATTGTAAAAGAATGGCGCCGCGTTCTGCAGTTGTTCGCAGTTGAAGTCTACGCTGCTTGCAGATCCAAGATGTTGCACTAGAGGAAGCCACGCGCAGGAAGACGTCAACAAGAGTGCCCCAAAGCAGCTTGAGTCATCTCTTCATGAGTGGGGCGAGCTCCCTCAAATGTGCTTTCGGGCTCAACTCGTGCAAGAGGGTGTGACGCCTGGATTAGTCCGAGCCTCCTTTGTAGGGCCACTTGCTTGCAAGGAGGGCGCGTGGCTGTTTTGTTGACAGTATCTTGAATTGGAAGCGACTGATTGAAGTTAAGCTGTGCTGAGCCGCTCTCAATCTGTGATTCGCGTAGCGTTAGACTGAGGTCTTACGCAAACTCGGCGCAGTCATGCAGAAGAGCCAAAGTGAGGGCAGCCTGGCCTTCTTGAACAACTCGAAGGTGGGGCTCCGAGCTTTCTAGCTTAGCTTAAGGCTTAAGGCTTAATCAGCAGTGACACATTTGGCTGCACACGAGGTTGGCTCAGCCACGGGCTTCATGTTGGTTTGCGGCGGCATCATGGCCCTCCCGTGCCCAGTCTGCCAGTGCTAGTCATCTGCTTGTACTCTTCGGCACTGATGCAGTGGCACGGAGCGGATTGTTTGCAGGCATGGAAAGAAATCCAGAGGGCTGGCAGATTTTGCAACCCGCTTCACAGCAACTTCCGAGTACCAGGACAGGTAACCCATGTGATGAGATATGGGTTCCTGACGAGTTGACCATGGCATACGAGGAAAAGTTCCGCGAAATTCCGCACTGTTATGCTTCCATGGACAGGTGCCTGTCTGCTGACTTGTAGCTTGAGAAGGTTTTGTGTGTGTGCCCAAAGGGCCCAGACTGGTCGAGACACGACTCAGCATCAGGAAGCCTCTGATGCCGTACAACCCGAACTCGTGTTGGACTCAATTTTTCGTATGTGTGGTGAAGCACATGGCGGAGAGCGGTTGTCCTTGGTGTCATTGGCTGAGGACTCGTTCACGTCTTGCTCTGGAAGATGCTCCAGTTCCGCTGAAGCGCTTTGGCTGCAAAGGTCTGCTGAAAGCTCGGAGCCCCCAAGAAACTATCCGGCAGAGGAATCATCAAGCAGAGCCGAGCGGAGCCAAGCAAAGCCCAGCAACGACCAGCAAAGCCAAGCAGCCTTTCAGGGCAGCCTGCGACCCGTCCTTGCTTCTTGTGCTCAACGACGCACGCTGCTTGTTGCGCTGCTTCCGCATCATATGATGCAAAGGAATGCATCCACCATTGAGTTCCGAGACAAGTTCTGTGTCCACAAGAGACGATTCGCCCCACCCTTATGATGCACACTGAGCTAGGGGCTACGAGTATCAGGATTCATGTTCACATCAGTTCTCCTCCAGGTGACGACGCACAAGAACTACTATACAGGAGAGAGGCCAGACATGAGGGCCAATCCAGGCATGATCGCAGACAGCACCCGCCTGAAGAAACGGCTGCAAGACATGTGAACTTCAATCCGGCCATTGTAAATTCTTGATATTTCCAGCTCAGTAGACAATACTTGACAATACTGTGGACGAAACCATGTGGGAGCAGCGGCCAGAAAAATGAGCCGCTCCCCTGAAGCAATGTCGGATCAGTGTCACCTGCTCATCCCAGGCCATGAGACAGCCTTTGCATGTTCATAGCATGCCCTTGTTTCTGGGCAGACGGCAGACCGGGCCATCCATATGGACTGTGCCTGTATCATCTGGACGCCAAAGCTGTTTCCTCTGAAGGCACTGCACAAGCCAAACTTTGGGTAGATGTGAGACAGTGTAAGGTTCGTGAACCTAACTACAGCATCCGCGATGCCTTCCCGAGCGTGTCCACAAGCAGATGGTAGTCTACTGCGCCGAGACTGCTCAGCTCAGGCGTAAAGGTGTGCTGTTGGCTTTTTGGTTTCATCTCAATGCACCTGACCGCACATGTAGTCGCAGAGTACCCAGTGGGCTCTCTAGCAATAGCCGTCCAAGTTGTCACCGCAAATGTGTGCAGCCCAACGCCTGCTTATTCACCCAACAGAGAGACAGACTGCCTGACAAACGGATCCCCACAAGCGCATGCTGGAAGACGAAGCTTCTGGCAGCATGGCGACTGGCCGTGCGCGGCAGTGTCTTGCTGTGTGACAGTAGTCAATAGCCTGTGCCAGATGCCGGATTATGTAGAATACGATGTGAGCACTGGCATGTAAAGTCAGGATTTGCTACGCAGGCCCTGCTTTTGGCCTCCTAGGCCTGGCCATCGGCTTCTCGACGGGGATGTTGGATAAGCGTGGTCTCTCAACAGCCCACTCTGGCTTTCTGGTTCTTTGATATCTTTGATTGCATTCGCTCTTCTCGTCAGGCTACACGTCTCTTGGTGGTCTTAGTCAAGGAGCCCTTTCCCTCCTGGCAGCAGCTGGGTTAGCAACTCTCAGCTGCCCGCTGTTCATGTTTCATGTGGAAAGTTCTTAACATCCGACGCTTCACGCCTGGGCCGGCGACTGATGCAGAGCACTCGGCATGCAGTGGAAAGGCATCCTTCTTCTTGGCTGTCAATATCATCTCAGACGAGGACCTTGCACGTTGCTTTGGTCGTGTGGAAGTTGGGTGAGCTCAGTTTCCGCGAGCCTGTACCCCCGTACTGTTCTCCTTCAGGCAAGCTCACTGATCGTTTTGGGCTCCATCTGCGCGGCACTGGGGTGCTTGATGGGCGCTGGTTTGGCTGGAATCTGGACACTTGGTGTGTGTGTGTGTGTCTTCCCAGGCAAGAGCTCTCATTGCTAGTGTTGCTTCAACACGAGACATCTATTGACTGTGTGCGCCCAACACAGGAAGGGAGATCCACGAATGTGACTTCTCCTGACAGTTATCTTCTGCGCAGTTGTTTGCAAGTTGTCAATTCAAAAATTCCGTCGAGCATGCCGAGTGAAACGCCTCAGCTCTGAAGGCCACTGTTTTTGGTGGCCGTGACTTTGTTCCACGCAACAGAGTTCACATTTTCTGTCCTCTGCCACGGGAAAACCATAGCACCACAGCTTGCACTCAGCACTGGCAACCCGGCAGGTTTCGGGACAAGTCTGCCTTGCAGCCTTACAGTGTTTGGTGATCACCGTGCTTTAAGGAGTTTCGGAGCTTCCTCCTAGCACCAGTGCCCGCGGCCGGCTACAGTGTGGCCATTGTTGCTGCAATCGGCGAGTTCTGGCTTTGGCACACGCTTGGAGCATTTGCCCTATCAGGCAACGCAGGGAATCGCTTCCGCCTTGAAACTTCTTGAAATGGTGCGTTGTTTTAGTTTTGGCCACCGTCAGGTCCGGTGCTGGGAGCTGTGACGATCCTGGGCTCTGGGCTTGTGGCTGCAGGCTGGGCACTGAGAACGGCACCTTGGACCCTTTAGCCCTACGATATGCTAAGTTGAGCCGAGACCCTGATTCAACGTTCACAGCCTCAGCTGCTGCAAGTAAAGAACAATAAAGAAGACTTCGCGCCCCGTCAATCTGGTTGGAGATTTGCTGGCAGCCCACGGCTATGATATGGTTCATGGCGTTTATGTGTAAAGGGCTTCCAGGGATTGTAGGGTTCGAGTTATGAGGTCCAGACTGCTTATGGTTAATCAAGTCTGCAAGAGGGAGAGGGAGGGGTCATCTAGGGCGAAGTGGGGTTTAGGGTATTTCCCCACCCTCGGTGTGGGGTGTTTAGATTTTGAGTGTTGCGCTCTCGACTCCGCGTCCTCGCCTCCTCCTCCTCCTCCTCCGCCTCCTCCTCCTCACCTCCTCGCCTCCTCCTCCTCCTCCTCGCCTCCTCGCCTCCTCGCCTCCCCACCTTCTCTCCTTCTCTCTCCTTCAGAGAGTCCCGTGAATACTCTGGGGTGCCTAGTCTGCAGAAAGTCCGATCGACTGCACACTCCCGAAAAAGCCTACGGGGGGGGCCAAGGCTCTTTTATGGTTTTTGGGCTGCCCGGTTTTGACAGAGCAAGTCGCCAGAATATGGGGCGCTGGTTGCGAGGGTGTTGCGTCATATTTGAGAACTTTCGAATTGCCTTGACCTTCTTGTACATGGCTCAGGTCCCCAAGCCACTTTCGTTTCATTCTATGCAGTGCCTTTGTATAGTCGCGCAGATACAGAATCCAAGGCCGCGCTCTTCACTGCGAGATCGAACTTCACACATCTGGTGGCCTTCTACAAGGACCCATCGCACATGCTCGTGAAGCATGGGGCATCTCCTTCCGCACAGTACTCGCTTTCAGATGTTTGATCGTCGAGTTTTGCCATTGACGCATGCCTACTGCACAAAATGCTGTCCTTGCTGCGTGGCCAAACAGCAGCAACAAACGCAGCTTTTGCTTGTGAAGAAGCAGATTGGGTGAGGGCAGGGCTAGCAACAATTGATCAAAGGAGGGAAGTCTGAAACCGAGGTTTATCGCTGGTGCAGGCATCCTGGATATGTTGGATGGTTCCTGTGGAGCGTTTCCACCCAAATCCTTCTCATCAATCCGGTCTGCGTGTTCTGCTACGGTTGGGTCTCCTTCCGTTTCTTTGCTGGAAGAATTCCGCATGAAGAGGAGAAGCTGGTACAGTTCTTTGGGGATGAATACCTGGCATACGCCAAAGAGGTGCCGTGCGGCATTCCAGGAATATCCAGGCTTGGATAGCATGTAAAAAGAAGCGACCCTACGCGACCACGCCTTGCGATGACGAGTCTCTTGCGTTTACGAGTAAGTCTGGTTTACCCGCCGCTGATGCCACTGCTCATCATGCTTGCACCAAACCGTAGGTACTTGTACCCAGAGATGGTTCGTATGTTGAGAACAAAAATAGACGGTTCTGCAATGGAGGCTTTTTGTAGTAGTGCTCACCCTGAAAAGAAATTCAGGGAAGCTCAAATTCATGCTGCTTATCAAAGTTGCAAGTTGACTCGGTGGTGGCTGCGTATTCTGTTTGAAAGTGACAAAATCGACATCAGTTCGCACTTGTAGCTTTCCAGCTGATGCCATGGTCTTCGGCAAAGCTTGTGCCGCCGCGTGGCATGTGGCTTTGCAGGGCTCTGACGTGAAGGCAGGTGGCACACATGAAGTTCAGCGTGGTCTCGCGGAATTCTTTCTCGTAACACCAGGGGCACGGGCAACCCATGTTCAAGTATTGGTCCCGAGTTGGCGGCGAGTTGGCTTCAGAATCGAAGCTTCCAGCCCAGGCCGTGAGATGAGATACTATGAAAGAAGCACGTGGGGGCCCCAGTGAGACGGGTGCAAAATGCACCGAGAGCGGCTCGGGCTTGTGCAGCGGATCTCCAAGGTGGGGCTTCTCCCTCCTGTTGGGTGTGTTTGCCTCCGTTCTTCCGCGGGCTCTGGCCATGGCTTTGCCGATGCTGGGCTTATGCTTGTACCACGTACCTAAAATTGGTTAGACATTGTGCTGAGGCACCTGGCAGACGCATAGACCTGTCATAGACTCGTCGTAAACTTGCCACGTAGACTTGTTGCATAGACTTTGTTGCTTATAGACTGTACCTGGATCTTCGAACGCATTGGACTCCTGAGCCGAGGAATGCGGTCCTTGCATACGCCGTGCTGCTCTCATGGCTACAGCACTTGATTCGGTAAACTCTGGAAATGGATCTGCCAGGTATCTTTTCTCGTGGAAGCAGAAGGTGGCTTCCTGCGGGATGTTGAGACTACCCAGGCTGCTGTGTTGTGCTCTCAGCTTTCAGTCAGGCGCTTCGTTGAATCTTGGCAATGCCCGACTGATGGTTGAGACAAGGTTGCTTACAGCGGCCTTTACAGCTGTCATGCTAGAGCCCCAGCTTTTCAACGGGCAGTTGTCAACGTCACTGTGAACAGGAGGAACGGTTTTACGGTTCTGGCACATGTACTGATGTCCAGGATCTTCATCCTCACTACGCGCCTTCAAATTGCATACGATCGGTGGTGGGAGGGTGGAACTTTGCTGCAGAAGACTCGCGGAGAGTGGTTCCCGGCTTGCATGGCATTTCTGAATGACGCTTTCGTAGAAGCTGATGAGCGGAGATTCGCTGCTTGTGTGGGGGTTCCAGATAAAAGGTTCAATGCTTACAGCAGCCTCATTGCGTTCAGTGCCTTCATCTGCATCTGGGAACCTGGAACGCCTGGGATGCTCTGCTCCCATCGCTGAACAAACTATCCTGGACTACTATGGCCTGTCCAGGTTCTGGCAAGCTGGAGATGCAAGCCAAGGCTCTGAGAAGTTTACAGAAATTTACAGCCCTTGCACCCGTTTGTGTTCCCATTTGACGTTGCAGAATGTGGCAGAGGTGGAAGAGTTTCATCACCTTCTTGCGCGACTGATGTCGCTTCTGTTCTGCTGCGCTCTACAGCTTGCCAGACTTGATTGGTTTTGTGTCGTACTGTAGTCGATCAGTTTGTTGCCCCAGTCACATTGGCCAGGCAAGTGTCCCCATCCGAGCGCAGCTTCCACATCCTCGATGCACGAGGCGTAGACAAGGCCGTTTTTGACCAGCACAGGACGGAACCAGCGAGTGTGGATGTGCTTAGTGTATGGCCTGTTGAGGCAAGTCTCGAGTCACAGCCTCAGTTATATCACGGGGCCTAGGGTTCCCAAACAACTTCACTCGCAAAAATATCAGGTATCTACGGGACCTTGATGACAAGGAGGAGGTCATACAACAATGGATTCAGAGATCGATTGCCCCGAGACCTCGAAAAAAGCATGTGCGGAATCGTGCCGAGACTTGTCTGATGAACGAGTGCCTTTCCTGGAACTCCAAGGTTCTTCGAATGGCAGACGGGGTTTTGCCCGTCCCTCCTCCTGTGGTATCTCGAGTTTTTCAGGTGCTTTCAACGTGCGGCGACAGTCGGGCTTCTGCATCTGGTGCTGCGTTGACCTCTCTAGCTGGACAGTGTGTGCTACAGCAGGAGCTGTCACGCGGAATCGTGAACCTGCAGAATGCGCGCAAGATTGCTGATTTCCCCTTCCCCTTTCCATATCACCAGGCCGACACCTCAACACCTCAGGCCTAACTCCGCTTCATCTTGCGTGGCTTTTCTTGCAGGTTAGCATAGCCATCCTCATTCTTCACTGGAGCCTGATGCAACCTGGTGGCTTTCAGAGACCCGAGACACAGCGCAGAGCATCGGCAAGCGAGATGTTTAGTGATAACTTCATCGGTGGTTTCGAGGCCGCTGCTTTCCAGCATGCTGCTTCTGCCGCTCAACGCAGCATGCAGTTCTTTTGCTGCAACTCGGACATCACAGTGCTTGTGACCGCCGAGCGCTTTCAGAAAGCAGAGGACCATGGGTAAGTGCAAGCCATATCGACCAGTTCCAGTTGAGGTGACTTTGTTTCTGCCAATGTCCCAGTCTTTTATCATCGATTGCACGATGTGTGCCTTCAAATCTCGAAGCTTGGGACTGACATGCTTGACTGCCGTGGAAACCAAGCATGCTGGCAATGCTAGGTGGTGCATCCACCTCACTGCTTTGCAGCTGGAGTCGCCATTTGGAGGTGTCCTGTAGGTGACGTTGCAGAGGCACACGTGCGTTGACATGCATGCTTTGTGACAGATGAGCCGAACGACTTGCCGATGGACCAGATGATAGCAGATTTCAATCAGAGTGTGGCTCCGAGGTGACGGAGGTGGTTGCCCAGTGCTGCTCACTCACTTGCCAGAAATCTGAGGTTTGCTCACTCTGCTAAATGCGCGTGCCCAAGTTCCACCGAAATATCGATCTACGAGACAAACGCGAGCCAGGCACGACCAATGCAGAGGTTTGCAGAGTTTTGCTTGACCTGGTCTGGCTAACATCATCTGCTAACATCATCTCAGGTTCAATCGTTCTATGTTCGAAAGCGATTTGGCTTCGTTTCGATCACGGAGTGGGGAGGACAGTTGTCTGTCCAACAAGCAAGCACTTTTCACAAGCCATGTCAACAGCCATCAAATTTCGCGAAAGTGAGACAAGTAAATTGTCCGCAGGTTTTCCCGCAGCTTCACTTGAAATGCATCTGGTGGCATGCACACAGAGTAAATAAAGACGGGCTAGGTTTGGTCAAAACATATTGCTGACATGATATGACACGTGCCGATTGGTGCACTGAGCAGCTTCCTTTCAGAAGCGCGAAAAGAGATGGCCCAAACAGTCCCACGCCCACAAGCAAGCCTTATTGACACGAAACCTCAAGCAAGCCTCTGGGACCCGAATGGCTCAGGCCTTTGGCCATCCTAGCCGGTGCTAGGCACTCTCCTCCGCTTCCTCCTCTTCTTCCACAGCATATGGTGAGTTCTCTCGATCACTTTGCATACCCTAAACAAATATTAGGGGCCGCCTTATAATAGTACCCCAAACAGGGACCATAATCTAGAGCGCTGACAAAAAGCGACAATGAGAACAAGCAAGAGACAAGGAAGAGACACCTGGCAGAAGGAGAGCAGCGACCACCCAAACAAATCAACACCAACAGGAACAACAGCAAGAAGAACAACAGCAACAAGAAGGAGCAGATTACGTGCGGAAACCACGAAGGCAACAGCAGAAACCAGCCCAGCAGCAGCAGCAGCAGCAGCAGCAGCAGCAGCAGCAGCAGCAGCAGCAGCAGCAGCAGCAGCAGCAGCAGCAGCAGCAGCAGCAGCAGCAGCAGCAGCAACAGCAACAGCTGTTCTTATTGGACTGTGCAGCAAGCAAGGGTTGTGCGGTTGAGGTGACAGAGGCACCCGTAGCCGTACAGTCAGTCTTTACTCTGTGGCACCATGGACGTTCCATTGGAGCACTTACGGCAATGCGCTTCAACAGCCTCATGCAGGACGATACGGAGGCCAAAGCACCGAACATTCCCCTGTGCCTTCCGCCTCGGATGGGTACTTTCTTGGATGAGGGAGAAGAGCAAGACGAAGTACGTGCCATGCGTAGTGAAGATTCTCGTGGAAGCCATGTCCAGCTTTCCAGCTGCAGCGATCCAGAAGACACTCGCGCAGACGGGATCCTTTCCACAACGACTTCGGTGCATGCCTGAGAACATTTCAGACTTAAAGAACTTGGAACAGGCTTGCAGAGGGCACCAGCATGAAGGGAGCAGAAGCTGTGCTGCCGAGGAGATGGCAATCCAACGAGTTTAAAGCCGCGTGCTTTGAAGTTGAGCATCCTTGAGCGCACAAGCTACATTGTACAGAGGTATGCCCCGGGCCAGACCGTCACATGTCCAAGACATGACCGTCCAACCACTAGCATCTCGCAGCAGCTGACCGCAAGCAATCATTCTGCAGAGCTAGGAAAGTGCAATGCTGGCCTGTGACTACTCTCCACCTCAGCATGTCGTGCGTTCTTGGTTGATCTTGGTTGCTCAATTCTTGCTGTCCTCCGGTCGGCTCAGACTTGCACGAGAAATTTAGGAAACTCTATGCGCTGTTTGTGGACTTTGACCTTTAGAGCGAAAGCGAATGGTTCTATGCTTACACAATCGGCCACCGCTGGAGCGATTCCGAGTGCTGTGCAACTTGACAAAAACCCTTCATTTCTTGCCGCTTGAGAAGTTCAGCCTGATTGTTTTTTCAGCTGAGGCGCTGTTTGCCTTGTCTTTGATGCGATTTTCACCTTGATTTTCGTCCTGTCGGGCATGTCTGCCAGTGTCCACTCAGTGGAGACTATATGCTATGAGCAGAATGGGTACTCCTGGCACAACATCCTGGTCGGAGCCCAAGCTGGGGGATGATTTTGGCCAAGTTGCGAAGACTTTGTGACCGGTGTGCAGCAGTGTACAGCAGTGTACCAGTGCGCGCAGGCCTTAAGTTTCATTGTGTCGGCGATATTTGCTGGCTGGGGAGTACTGCTGCATGGTGGCGTCGTCACGAGCGGCGAGGGGGCCCCACTGAAACAAGCACAGCTGGTGGGCGTTTCCCGCTATGGCCACATACTTGTTGCCTGGACGCCCCTTGCCTTTAGAAGTTTTTGAGGCATTTTCCCACGATTGACCATCTGTGGTGGAGACACCAATTTTGCTCTGCTCTTTGCACCCAGGTTTATTGCAGCAGTGTTGGAAGCGATAGCCTATCGGCAACAGCCTACTGTGTGCATGGGAGATGGAGAGGCCGCGGTCGCTCAGCCAACGCTTACAACCGGCGAGACCGGCTTCACAGATATGCATGTAGAAGCAGTTTGGCATCTGGCCTCCACGGTGATGTGGCTGGTGTGGGTTGTGGGTGCAGTTGCTGCCGCAATGTCCGCGAAGCGCAATATACCTGTGCTAGAGGATGCGAGATTGCAAGTGGCCTCGCCGGACAGGGATGGTGCTCAGCTGGTAGGCGTTCCGGTGCAGGAGGATCTGCCCATGGGCACGGTCACTGGCGTCGCTCAATCCGCCACCACAGGTGCACCTGCACTTCCACCAACTTTTCACGGGATGCCAGTGGCAACTGCAGTGGCGGGCTCGATAGGAGCCGACGGAGTATGCCAGGGCATGCCCGTTCGAGACGAAAGTGGTAATGTGGACCGTCCAGCTGGCTTCACGAAAGATGCATGAAGCCAAGCTCGATGTGTTGTTCGTGTACTTCATCGGCAAGTTTCACTCTTGAAGGAACAGCCTCAGTTGTGCCCGACAAGAGCATCGCTTGTGGGCAAAACGCGGGCGGCTGCTTGTTGACCTTGTCGGGAGCTGCGCTGTAGCATGCTTGGTCGACTGTCCTTCTGCGCTTCAAGCGAAAAGCTCATGATGGGCATCATGGAGCATGGCAAGCGGAATGGCCCTCCAGCAGAAAGTCAGGAGTTCATAAGATTCTATATCTTGAGGCCGAAGTGGTCCGTCGCTTTAAGTTGCTGCGTCATGGTTGCAAAGCGTGTCCTGCGGTTGGCTTGTGCCGGGTCCTTACATGACCGGAAGCATGCCGAACAAATGCCCGCTTTCCTCGCGCTCCGAGGGGCCTGCTATTTGTAGTGACAGGTCTTCAGAGCTGTGGAAAATGCAGAATGGGACAGAACATATGAATGTTATACTATACAACCATATGCAATTATTTGTACATCTGTACAATGTATACATGGGTTAGGTCGTCGACAACAGTTGCCCCCTGGAGTTGTTCTTGTTCTCAAGGATGGGTTTAGGAGTTGAACCAAGGTTACTTGTAGGCATAAACCAATGAACGTGAGGTGAGGCTGTAAACTCCTCGTACAATACATTGAACAACCCACCCATGTTTTCATGATTGTTGGAGAATTTCCGGGAAAGGCAGGATCGTTGAGAATCATAGGCCGCGTTGTCCAAGGTTTCTGTAGCATTCCGCACGAAACACTGTTTTCGTAGGATTGGTTCCCTCATCAATGCATCCATCGCCTGTTTTGCGTTTTCTGGCATCGAGCCTATGTGCCCAGCAATTCTCCCAGCAGCTGTCCCTTCTTGTGTTTGCGCAAAAACAACCAGTAGAACTCAACCAAAAAAGGCACCAAAAACTAAGCGGTAAGGCCAAGGTTGCCCGACATGGACAGCACCGACTGCAGCCAAACCCTTTAGTTCCGTTGTAACTGGAACTTCGGGGAGCGAATAAAAAGTTCGTGGCATGTTTTAAAGCCCGATCCTTGAGCCTACGTAAGCCTCTTCAAAGCATACGTCTTCCAGTGAATGTAAGCTCAAAAGGAAGGCCATCTTTTGATTTCTAGACAGTTCCAAGGCTTATTTTCGCTTTGAATAGGTGACCACAAATGCTTTAAGTGCTTGAATGTTCGAAGTTACCCACTTTCTGCCTGAGGAATTTGAAGAATGTCAAAAACTTGTGTGGACATTCAAGTGCCCAAGTTTCCCTTGAATTCTCGCGCTTAATGGTCCCCGACGTTTCCCTTCCGATGCCATCCCAAACGATCTGAAGTTCGTTCGAACACGGCCTGTTTAGCACTGTGTTGCTCTGGCCATGCTGCAGCAGGTAGGCTATGTTTGATCCGATCTCACTTGTCGCTGAGATACTCAGCATATGCCGCGTCCCCTTAAGCTCCATGGTGCCCCTCTCGCCATTGACAAGGATTTGAGTCGAGAATCTAACGGCTGATGTCCAGCCTGAACTTGTTTCGGGTCCAAAGTGCTTCTTGATGTTGCGAGGACATGCGTTTAGCAGACGTGAGAAGTTTGTGCATTGAGGTTGCCTTGGGCCTGCTTGCCCTCAGGCGCGAAGAGATGCAACGAGAGAGAGAGAGAGAGAGAGAGCGAGAGATGCAACGACAAGATCACAGCTAAGACAGCCAAGAGTCCACAGAAGAAAGAGCGCATCTGGCCGGGTAAGAAGTCCTTTTGGACTTTTGCTTGTTGCATGCGCAGGTACCTTTCGCAGTTGCAGGCACGCAGCCCTCGAAATTGAAACTGAAGGAACTGCGTCTCCGTCCAGTGATGGTATGTCTCGAACAGTCGAGCAGGCCTTCACAGGGTCGGCTAGAGCGCGGCAAACTGTGGACAGATCGAGGACTTCCAGTTCCTTGAGGGTTTGTGCTTTGGAGAACGAGGATAAGCGGCAATTCAATTCGTTGTGCAACGCAGCCCAAGAAACTTCCATGGAGTTTGTTTATGCGGATGAGGTTCACTGGGCGTGTACACACATGTTCAACTTTCGCTTGCAGTCATCATGCTTACAGTCCAAACATGTGTAAACCAATGTAAGCCATAAGAAGAGCGGCCAACTTGCATTTTGCAGTCTGTGCCTCGGACAGCACCAGCTCGCCAGCAAGGAGAGTTCTGACAAGGATGTTCTCGCTTGCTGACTTGGTCTTCACCCCTTCTCACTGTACTCTCAACCCAGTGTCGCTTTCCAAGTCCATTCAGCTAGGCTGCAGCAGCTTCCCCGACGATGCAAGAGAGCAATGGTGCATCGAACCCACTGCAAACGCTGTCTGCCGAGTCATGCCCGGCTTCGGTTTCCCAATGGTTTTTTTAGAGCAAGTATTCGCTGAAAGCGTGCAGAGGGTTCTCCGAGCAAGGTGGGCAAGTGATTGCGGCAAGCAGTGGCCCCAAAGTGAGTGACGAATCACTAACAAAAAGTGCTGTGGCTTGAAATTTTGGACGTAAGCGGAAGGCTTGTGGAACTTGGCAGATCTCGCATAGTCTGCAGCACTCGTGGCTGTTTTGTGGCCCGACCGTGAATCGCGAACCCCCACGAACCGGTGCGGAGTCTGCAGTTGACCACGCGATTGACCGGCCTGGCCTCGGGCCCGCGGCTGCCCTGAACGCACTGTGAACCCAGCCAGCTGCTCTAGCTCATCCATAGGTCAGGTAGCAACTCCAAATATTCAAGTTCAACATTGCAACAACCTATTTTGGAACCTCCTCAGCAGCGGAGTTGACTCATGCCAACGTAGACGCGGTGTGATTCTTTCCAGGCTGTCAACATAAATTGACATGACATTGAGCAGGATATCACTTCGCTCTGCTGCCGAAAGCGGCTTGGCACAGCCACCGTGCTGCAAAAGGATGGGTGCTGGATGTCAAGCAACGAATATGGTTTTTATCCATTGGGCAGCCCATGCATCGCTCGCGTCTTGGGCATGGCGTGCTGGCCGAGATGTGCCGAGGCTAGCTGGTGTAACGACTTTGTCGATTGACACTGGCGACCTTGCAGTCATTAAGGACCTTCGCTGCCTCTGTGGATTGAGGCTAAGCCCGTCTAAGTGGCTAACCCAAGCCGCGCAGGAATATGCAGAGACTGGACTGATAACTGATGCAACAACGCCGGCGCCTTTTGAAGCCTTCCTTGACGGTCCCCAATACCCATGTGCCTGTCTCGAAAAGTCAGGAATCCCTTGTTCGTCAGCCAAGCTGGACTAAGCGGAGATCCAGCGTGTGACTTAGAAAGCAAGGGCAGCACCGTCAACCCTGCAGTAATTACGTTCCCGTGCCCTGCTGCTTTTGCAGGTTTATGTGGCCTTCGTCGAGGATGCGTAGCGCCACTAGTTTTCCAGCCCATGCAAGGCACTTTCGAACCTCACCCGCTGACCCAAGGATCGAGTATGCTCGTGCGAAAGCCAAAGGCAAGGACGAAATTGTGGCCTTGGCGATGGACAAGCTGGCCGTGAATCTTGGGGTGGCTCACAGCTTACTGTCAGTTGTTTGTCCTGGCTGAAGGAAGCGCTCCAGTCACGTCCTTGCAGCAGCCGGGATCTACAGGTAGTTACGGCAGTTACGGTATTTATGGTAGTTGTTCTTGCTGTAGTTTTCTTTGGCCTGTACGGTCTGCTTGTCCTCTGGTCTGTCGGTCTCGCAGTCTGCCGATCCCTCTGCAATCCTGTTCCCCTATGAAAGTGTGTACGCTTGCCTCTCGTATCACCAACAGAGCTCGGGGGTGCAAGAGCCGAAAGCCGAAAAGCCAAAAGCCACACACATCACGCACAACCTTTTTTGCTGGGCATCAGACCGCCCTTACTGGTACTTGTTGGAGCTGCTGAGGATGACTAAGCGAATGTGTACGTGAGTTTCCACTTGGAAAGAAAGTCTTGTCATGTCTGCTTTTCTGGTTTACTCTGGTTCCAGGATTATGTGAGTATCGGTTCTCTGTCCATTGTCTTGCGAGCCTACACCTCGCCAAGGCCATCTCCAAGCTGGTGTCCGGGTACATATCGACGGAGGCCCGTGACAAAGTACAACGGCGTGAAAAGTCGACTTCGCAGATGAAGTCCATACCTGTGATGGGAAAGGTGGATCCGCGATTGAGTTTCGACAAGGCCCTGTGTTGGGGAAGGTCGTTAATAATTGTTGTTTTTGGTGTTAAGATTGTCATGGACAGTTTCCCCCCTCTCCCCCATTAAGTATGCTCTGAGCATGCACTCAGCTCGGCAGCTGCTCGAGCCACCGAGCGTCTGCCCTACCGAGCGCTTAGCGAGTGCTCTGTGAGTGCTTGGCAAGTGCTTAGCAAGTGCCTCGGGAGTGCTCACCGAGAAACGCGCCACAACACTCCCAATTCAGGAAAAAGCATCCATGCTCACAAAGAGCTTTTTGAGATGGAGGGGGGCTACGGGAGAAAGAGGGTAAGCTGTCCACGAGTCGTTTCATTAGGCTACGTTTGGGTGAATCGCAGGAGCCTGCTGTGTTATGGTCCATCCCTGTCCTTCCCACCCCTTGCAGTCGGCATAGCCTGTTGCGATTCATGCAGTGCAGATTGTGGGGCGCAGCATGCGACAGATCTGAACGGCATGGGATAGCGCGGCCCTGTGTGGCCGCAACTTCTGGAATGCGAGTGCTCTTGGAGACGTGAGTTCAAGGACGAGACACTGCGGCGTGCCCGTCGTATCATCGCTGCTGCGCCGCAATGTTGTGAGTGCTTCTGTTTGCCTGGAGAGCTCGCAGTGACGTTTCCACAGTCCCGCGCTTAGGCCTTGTATGAGGAAGCAGGCGTGCCACGTGAGCGAGTGCTCATCAAACTGGCGGCCACGTGGGAGGGCATTGCAGCGATGGCGGAGCTTGAAAAGGAGGCCACCAGGATACTCCTTGAATTCTGCAGTACTTGCGACTGACGTGACATGCAGCCTTGCAAAGGGAATCACCTGCAACATGACGCTGGTGTTCGGTTTCGCGAGAAGCTCAACTTTGCACGCACGCACGCACGCACGCACACACACACACACACACACACACACACACACACACACACACACACAC